AGTCCAATTGTCAGTGACTTCATGGATTTGTGCCACGTTTTGGTTCTGTAATACAACCCTTTCAATATACGTTAGAAATAATCTGATTGTAATGTAGAGCAATTATTAGTAGGGTATTTTGTAAAACTATTTTAAATAAAAAAATTGTAACAAGAGTGCTCTATTGAATCATGCCGAAACTAGTGACCTTGAAACTTTTGTGACATCCGACTAACTAATTGGCATATATTTTGATATGCTAAATTAGGAATCTACTATTAAAAGATTATAATAAATTATGAATATATACATTGCGTTTTTATTGTTGATTCATTTGTCAGTATCTATAATTAGTTTTCTGGATCAGGAATTCATCTTTATGGAGGTTTATCAGTCTCTTTCAAGATCCTTTATAACGCCATAAAGACATTTTACAAACGATGCGAGATAGCCTCAACAGACCAAGGTTTGATGTTATAAGACAATGATTTGAGCACTATATTTGTATACATTATTAAACGAATGAGTGAATATATTATGTGTCATTGTATTCATAGAGGGTCATTTTCACTTTATTCTTACCAACCTGTAATTAGGAGAATTGTTCATTTTATCAAGGTCATCGCTCATATGTTCCCATCTGAATCAGTTTATTAGTATAAATATTATAGATGGATTATGTACATTTTCACTTACTCGCTGACAATACAACTTTTTACCAACTCTTGCCATCCTACTTTGCCTAATTAGTTGAGCATTGTGATTAAAATTAGACTGCAGATTTTAACGCAGCTGAAAATACACTTCAAATTGTACATATATCTTGACAGGTCGGCTACTGAAATGCTTAAAACCGGCTTCCTATTACTCATGACTTCAACTCGAACAATAGAGAAGAGGGACGAAATATGACCAAGAGCTTTACTTATGTACGGAAAATCGTGTGTATTTGTAGAGTTCCATGTGACCTTGGGTTTATAGAACTTGTCTTCATTTTCCCGATGTTTCTGTGGAGCTTTTATTTAGTCCTGGTCAGGTAAAGTATATCCTAGCTTTTTTCTGGGTTTTTAGAGACGATGGAAAGTTATTTTTGGACTCGCAAACATTTCTGATTGTCACTTTCTCGAATTTCGTAAGTATGAAATTATTGTATAGACTGGTCGGTTGTCCTTGTGAAATGACTTATAGTTATTACTCTTGATATCTTTCCCTTGATTCTTTCAACTCTTCATCAGCCATATATCAAAATATACTCTATTTTTTATCAAACATCTCGTGGATCGGTGTTATTTCTTACATTACTATCTCAGCGTTTGGCACTCTAATATGCCAGTAGGAACTTATGTAAAATAAAATAATGGTAAAATAAAAAAAGTTTATTGAAAAGTACACATTCTTTAACATTTCTTACCTCATCAAAACGTTACTACACCAACGAGACTAACATTTATCATGAGCTACATAATCACTGAATTCACCCGTCTTTTTAAATATTTCGCTTAATTAACTCGTCCCGTTTAACGTTACCTACAATTAGAATTACTCATATATTTCGCAAAAATAATACAGCAACTCATTGAAAACCTACCAAAGGGATGTCATGTAATCAATGTCTCTGTGCTCTCACCATTTAAACAACGTGATGATCCTGATTATTTTATTCCATCAGTAATTACATGATTTATTTTAAGAGTTTACCTTGAACAAATGAGGTCAAATAGACTAATTCCTTATGAAATATGTTTCCGATATAGTTTACATCCTTAAGGAGTACACATTTTGCGTGATTTTCACGTCATTCCCACTGTAGAGTAGCAATATAAACGTTTTTCATTTGCCTTAAAAAACACCTTCTGCAAGGTTCTTTATAAGATAAAAGCTAGTTAGTAAACTTTTTTTTGTATTTATTTTTAACATAAACTGGAGAAAATGAACTCGATCGTGTTTTATTTATTTCTATAATGAAGGTTGGAAACGTTCGATAACATAGTTGAGAATTAGTTGCAATGGTTCAAATTCATTCAATATTTTTGTCTTCTTTCAGATCTTATTGTTTAAATTTATTGTATAATTTCCTATTTCATCAATTGATTCCTTTCTCTTGAATCACATTATCTATGGCCTAATCTTTCATGCTATCATCAGTACTGTTACTTCTCTTATTACTCCGACATTTTTCTCGGTAATTTCATCTAACTATATTGATATGATATAACAACTTGGAATGATACATTGATATCTCATTCTCTTCTACTCTTTTTTATGATTCATAAAGTACTTACTTACTTACACCTGTTACCCCTCGTGGAGAAGCATAGGCCGCTCACCAGCATTCTCCATCCAACTCTGTCCTGGGCAATCCTTTTCATATCTGCTTCTATTTCCCGGCGTAATGTGTTCTTTGGCCTTCCTCTTTTCCGTTTCCTCTCCGGATTCCAAGTTAGGGATTGCCTCGTGATGCAGTTTGATGATTTCCTTAATGTATGTCCGACCCACTTCCAACGTCTTTTCCTGATTTCCCCTTCAGATGGAAGCTGGTTTGTCCTCTCCCATAAAACGCTGTTGCTGATAGTATCCATCCAGTGAATGTTGAGTATTTTGCGTAAACGACTGTTTATAAATACTTGTACCTTCTTGACGATGGATGTAGTAGTTCTCCACGTTTCATCTCCGTACAGTAGGACTGTTTTGACGTTCCTATTGAAGATTCTCACTTTGAAGTTAGTTGACAGTTGTTTTGAGTTCCATATATACTTCAATTGTAGAAATGCTGTTCTTACTTTGCCAATGCTCGCCTTTACATCTGCATCCGATCCTCCTTCATCAACGATGCTTCCCAGGTACTTGAATCTTTCCACCTCTTTCAGAGAGGTGGAAACATTCATAAAATAGGTTCGCTATAAATACTTCTATTTATAATTTCTTACAGTAATAACTGGTTATTTAAGAAAAAGTTTTTATCATTAATTTTCTTAACTAATTATATCATTTTTACATTTTTGAGGCCATTATTAAAATGATACAACATATGATTTCATTCAATGTACCACATTCTTCTATTGTACTATTCATTACTATAAAGTACATACTACTTAGTATCATATTATTGACAATAATCTTTGCATTCACTATTCAGGTTTATTGATTTTTAGTGCATTAATGAGTTTAAAGCTAGAATTTACTTATGTTATACTGTTATTCTCTACTTTTCATGTATGATTTCACATACTATTTCCGTTATTATTATTATTATTATCGTTGTGACTAACCATAACACTACTTATACTAATCACTAATTAGTAGTATTACATTATGACAAAAGTATGATATCATTAAGTTGGAAGAAAAAATTATTTCTATGTTGTTTTTTTACTTGAAACTTAAATGGTTTGAATTTTTTTCTGGTTAGCGTTTTTTGAACGAGTTAGTTTTTCTACGGGATGGGGTCGCTAACCCCCACGCCCCCCTCCTTTACCCTGGCTTGGGACCAGTAGTAACTCTAGAAGAGCTACAGGCGGAGTTTTTGGCTTGAAAAGGAAAGGAAAATTCTCGTGAATTAAGAATTATGACAAATTGCAGAAAACTACAGTTTAAGCATTAATTCTGTTAGTTAATAGTTTTGGGAAATTTTATACATAAAATGTTTAGCACTTTTTTAATAGGCCGAATCAAATTGCCCCATGGATTGGTTAATTACTGAAGACGGATAGTCCCAGCTAGACTAAATATAAACAATTATCTCATATTATAACATTGATTTCATTTACTGACTTGTCTATATTGTGTTCCTGAATTCTCGTTTTAATTTGTATTTGGTTCTTAATTGAATTGCCAGATAATTGAGTGGTAGTGTATCTATCGTATTGTAGTGAACAAAACATTAGTTAGGGACAATCGAATGTATTTAAGCACAAATTACAGACTATCTCACTAAATTCTGATAACCATACAGCAAAATGTTAATTTGCAAAATAATAATCATTTGTCTCAATCTTCACTGTTCCTTCTGTTAATATCAATCCATCTTCTCTAATTCCATTGTTTATGCATTTTCCTACCAATTGCGCTTCATTCCTGTTCGTTTCCTATCGATCTTCTGCCAAAATACATTCTATGTCTGACCATCACCAAATTTTCAAGATCATCCCAACATGATTGTGGTGTATTTTGTTAAACAGTCTCTTATCATTGCTTTATTGTTATTTTACTTTTATTAACAGAACTAATTAATTTTAGGTGTTTGTTCGAACCTTTAAGTATAAATGTATATTTGTACTTAGCTCCTTTAATGTTAGCGCTAACAACTCACTAACTACTGCATTATATACAACATAGGAAAACATATATATTAATCGAATTAGTTTGCATGTCAGTTTCATATAAACGATACGTATATGAATTAGATTAGATGAATTATACCACGATCATAAGTAATTATCTACTTTTCTATTGAGAAAATACTCATCACTTTATTTCACTCATGATTTCAACTATGAAAATACTGAAATCTCCACAAGACCCCTTCTGATCTATAATCATATGCTCACTAGTGACTGACTTCAAGAGAGATTTCCTTGACTTTTGGTGGGAAGCAGTGACTAGTGGAGTTCAACCACGTCTGTTGTAGAGATATCAACTCACTGAAGACAATTCGTGGACGGTTGCTCAAACATCGTGGATTGGTTGAAGTTAGATATTAACACCGTTGGATGCCGGCTCAGTGGTCTATCGGTTAAGTACTCTGGAGTGAGACTGATAGGTCCTGGATTCGAATATCGCAAGTGCAGGATAGTGGATGTGCACTACTGAAGAGTTCCATAATAGGACGAAACGACCGTCCAGTGCTCCCAGGTTCTCCTTGGTGGTCTAGCTTCAATTGACCCATGGTTTCAACTATGAAAATATTGAATTCTCCACAAAACCCTTTCTGATCTATTTCATTTTTAACAAAGACAATTAAAATGTAAAGGTGTATTTCACATCATTGAACTTTAATAATTCTTGATGAATTTTCATTTAAGGTTCATACTAATTATGGATCTCAAAGTATTCGTCTAATCCGTCTACGTAATCCATGGGGTAATGAAAGTGAATGGTCAGGTCCTTGGAGTGATCAATCTAGAGAATGGAGAAATATTCCACCTGATGAACGAAAACGAATCGGTCTCACTTTTGATGAAGATGGTGAATTTTGGTAAATATTCTTGTTTTTACTAACGAAATGTCCGAATAATTTTTTGTCAATAGTACGGGGAAATTTTACTTTTAATTTCGATAAAATTGTCTAATGGATAGGATACATGTTCATGAATTCGAAGTGTATCTACCTCATTGCTCAATATATGTGCGATTCTTAGTATTTTTCTGCTCATTCAGTGAGTGAATGTTGTATATAAGATCATGATTTTAACTGATACGATATTCAAAGATTAGGCCTAACAGTCAGTTTCTAAATTTTATCTTTGGCCACAATCCATTTATTTTTAAAAATACCCAAATATACTGCTGTGCTACACGGTTTATGGAACAATTTTCAACAGTTCACTACAAACTAAATGAAATTGTAATATTATGTCTAGATTGTTAAAAGATGTTTCCTAATTGCTTCTTATCTTTAAAAAAAGCTAAGACTTTTGATAGGAAAAGATGTTTGTTTTACGGTGTTAACTAGTAATTTGTATTTTTATAGCTGTGAAACATGGCCGGTAAGAGTAAGAGAAAGCTCGTCTAGCTTTCGCCAACTTGCGTCATTTATGGAGTAGGCGAGATATCCGTTTACCAAGCAAATGATGGGTTTACTGTGCAGCAGTTCGTTCCGTCCTAATTCATGGCAGTGAAACATGGCCGGTAAGAGTAGAGGATATTCGTAGGCTACTAGTATTCGATCATAGGTGTCTTCGAAGCATTGCTCGTATATCCAGGGACCACCGAGTAAGTAATGAAGTTGTTAGGAAGTTAGTACTAGGTGAGGATGGCAAATCGATTGAAGTAGTGAAACTTCATCAGTTGAGATGGCTGGGACACGTGTTACGAATGCCCAACCACCGACTGCCCCGACGTGCAATGTTTTATGGTGTAGGAGTAGGTTGGAAGAAAGCTAGGGCGGCCAGACCAAAACGTGGCACAAATCCATGAAGTCACCTATAATTGGACTGAGCCATGCTGGTAGGTGTAGACTACCTGGTTGGGATCCGCGAGATGATAGCAACCGATGGTTAGAGACCTTGAATGACATGGCTCAAAATCGTTTGCAATGGCGAAGGTGCATCCACTCTTTGTGTTCTACCAAATTCTAATCCTCTGAATTCTTCATGTCCCTATCTGCTGTGACTTGGCTCAGAATCGATCACAATGGCGTAGTTGTATACACTCTTTGTCTTCCCTTAAACTGTGAGATTAAAATTACTGTATACCTTTCTTTTTACAAACTAATTGTTTCTCCTTGTATCATATTCTTATATGCAATCTTTTTTTATATACTACTGCCACTGAAGTAACTGTTATGAATTTGTTGTTCATCTTGCTGTGCTAATGAGATGTGGCAACTTAGAGCGTTGCATATATGTGTTTAGTCCTACGTTTTAGCTGACTAACTATCTGTTGTGTTCACAGTAACAATATTTCAAATATGGTAGTAGTTATGTGTTAAAGAAATATCCTTCCCTCTTTCTGTAACTTGATAAACGTGTTTTTTCTTTTTTTTAAAATGGAAGTACGTTCTTATTTCTCTTTAAGGATGTCTTTCGATGATTTTGTACATTATTTCTCACGTCTTGAGTTATGTCATCTTGGACCAGAATCCATAGCTTATAGTCCAGGTCCTGCCAACCGTCGTTGTAATAAACGTCAATGGGAAATGGTGTGTGAAGAAGGTGAATGGTTGCGTAATTCAACTGCTGGAGGTTGTACAAATTTCCCCAGTAAGTATGTGATAAATACTTATGATAATCAAATACTTACATTTTAATCTATATTATGTGCTTGATCGCTTACAGGATTCCCTTTATATTTAGAAACACAGATATAAAAACGAAAAATATTTACTTACTCTTAAAGAGCAGCACAAAGCGAGTGCTTTCTAAACGTATCTCCGAATATTATCCGGCGTAACTTTTGAAAAGTGAATATAAATCAATCAACAGTTCAATTTCAAAACATTTTGTGAATTATGGTCATATGGACACACCTGACAAGTCCTTCAAAATCATCTATGCAGTCAGGCGATTTGGTTCGAAATGAGTACAAATTAATAACTTATTCATTGCGGAAACATTAACAATCTGTCTTTTTAAACCTAAGCTCTATATTAAAAAAAGAGTCTCGTGCAAGCCATCACTGTTCCATAGCCCTAACGCTTAATTTTCATTACTTACTTACGCCTGTCACCCTTCGTGGAGGAGCACAGGCCGCACACCAGAATTATTCATTCAACCCTGTCCTGGGCAATCCTTTCCAGTTGTTATTCATCCTGTAGCTCTTTTAGAGTTACTGCCTGTCCCAAGCCCGGGTAAAGGAGGAGTGTTGGGCATGGGGTTAGCGAACCCATCCCGTAGAAAAACTAACTCGCTAAAAAGCGCTAACCAGAAAAATAATTTTCATAAACGGTCTGTTAAGTAGGTTTCCAGAGAACTCCAACAGAGCCTCCAGAGGCTCAAAAAGAGCTCCAACCAATCAGAGCACGACAGAACATTCTGGAGTTCCAACGTGGCACGCTATCATTGGTCAGTAGCAATTTATGTCGTTAAGTGGATTGGCTGAATTAGGATGTTGATTTAACTTAAGCAAACATCTATAAATACCTACGATTTTCTGTACAAAGATGAACCTTGCAATAAAGCATCTTCTCGTTACTCGTGTCTTCTCTCTGGTCTTCAGGTCGCTGAGTAGTGCTAGCCTGGGGTTATCAGAATAGCTTAGGATCTGAATATAGCGTTCAACCTACAAGACATTTCAGTAGCGACGGGGAAAAACTACAAGACATATCAGGTCACTTAATTGTTAATCTTCCTAATTTTTAATTACTCATTATTATCACCTTGTTTTTTAATTTATTCTCCTCTCTTCTCATACTCGTCAGACGGACAGTTGTCTTATACATACTTGATTTTATCTCATTACATTTCTTCAATTCTCGATTTGATCAGATGTAGTCGTCTATCTTTCAATAGACTATTTTATTTGTAAATTAGCGATAAATAGGATTGTACATCTTGAGTGAATGATATAATCGGAAATAAAAATTTTCTTCGCTAAATCGTCTTAATTCTTTTGTGGAGTATCCTCTGTTCAGTGAATTCTTTTCAAATTATCAATCACAAAAGTAATTGTTTTTAAGACAAAATACATCGCATAAATTTATAGCGTAAAATAAGACAAAATATTTATTGAAATGACTTCAATTGTAGTGTCGGTTGCTATGTTAAGCCCACTTAGCTTATTCTGTCTTCCTGATAAGCCGTTTTATTCATCCTTCTTGAGTCACATTTCGGCCTTGCTAATTATTCGCATATCAATCTTGATTGTTTTTATATGAGATTATATGTGTGCACATCTTGTCCTATTCTTCAAATGTCTGTAACTTATTTTTGTCTGACTATAAATATCGATTAACACTTGATTAAATAAAATTGGCTCACTCGCCTGCTTCACTGCGTGTCGTTCTGTCTTGCTTCGCTTTCCGATCAACGTTTATACTGAGTGCGCGTACTCAAATTCCATTCTCGTGTTTGACTTATTTAATTCCGTTATTCATTAACATGATTTAAGTCGATAATTATATGCGAGGATTGGCGATTTTTATATTTCAATGGCAATCACTCGTCCTATCCAATTGTAGACAGATAAGGGTCACAAAAGTAGTGAACCCGTCGACAACACCATCCGATCTAATTGGCGTCAAAATAATGAGCCACCTTAAATATACAGTGTTCATTCGAGCAAGTTAATATGCTTACAAACAATCCCATGTTCACATGTCATAATTTTAAACGATATGTTTGCCTTATATCTGGTCACGTTTTGGATTGTTAATTTGAATATAGAACTATACTATAGTGAACGAGAACGCAGGTGGAGATAACCGATTTATTGTTTAATGCAAAATTACAGAGCGCTTTCGTAAAATGTGAAAACTATACATTAAATACATAATCTTCCATCAGTTGTCTTTTAAATGCTTCATAATTCTTTCAATCTTATTGTTATTACAATTGCTTCCTGTTTACCTTTTTGTTCTCTTCAATTGAATCTTCTCCTGACATGTATTCCACTTCTGATTGCTGTTACATACTAATTATATCTGTCCACATAGGAGGAGCACACCAGTGTAGGACCTGAAGACCAGAATTCATCTAACAGAATATTCTTCGTTTTTATGTTTATATTTTTAAATATTATATTCCATATTATGCAACTTAAGTGTAATTTTTTAAATCAGCTTATCTTAATAATTATAATCAATGTTACTGTCGAATACTGACGGGTTTTAACTTAGATTTGAACAATATGTAATACCTAAAATGTATTGTGGTTATGTTAATGAAAATTGTTTGCCTTCGGCCTTTGATTTTCAAGTACTTTGTCACAGATTGATTTTCTTACAATCATCCGATTTAGTTTATGTTCCCTGGTTGTATGTTGTTTTAAACCTTTGTATGATTCGTGTAAAGCTATTAAGTTTATTTTATGTATATACATATTTTTTTCCAAATGGCGATCAAGTACTAAGCAATGACAATCTTTAGCAAACCGGTGAACAATGAATTTTTATAGAAATATTTATACTACTGTCAATAGTATTACTTTTATGTAAAAACATTTTTTTATCCTTCTGTTAACTTTCATTACGTTGCTTTTGTAGATACATTTTACATGAATCCACAATTTCATGTTGAAGTTGTGGATCCAGATGAGTCAGATGAAGATGGTTATGGCACTCTTGTAGTTGGTTTGATGCAGAAGGGATTAAGAGAAAAACGTGTTGAACCTCATGTGATTGGTTATTCTGTATTTCGGGTAAGGATTTATCCTATTACTGCTGTAAGAGTCATGTTCCGAAAGTAATCATTGTTGTAGCTTTGAAAATAACTTATAATGATCAAACGATAACACAGTAGCTATATAGACTTATTCCATTAGAAAGATAGAATTTCGAGTAGAGATATCATCAACGTCTTTGTTGTCCAATAAGGATGTTGTATCTAACACTCAGTCTTTTTTTTCGTTAGTTTATTCAGTAGATACTTCATACTAGTATGTGATTGTCGGTATAGATTTCATTTGAATCTCTAGCATCCACCATATCCAAAATATTGGTTATGCTAAACTATCATCCCCATAGCATATAATTACAAATAGCGCTAGCAGCTTGAAATGAAATAGACAAAATTGCACTCCGACATACAACATTCACACATAAGAAATAAATGAAATATCGGTCGAAAGTGCTGGGCTGGATGCAACGCAATTACTAAATACTAAAAATATCAATCCCTATGACTGTCTTCAGAAATATCACTTGTTTTTGTATCTTTATATTTTGGATTATTTCTCTGCAAAAACTCATGTCAGACTGGTGGACATGCAGTTGAAATTATTTAATTTCCGTCACTGAAGAAGGGTTCTGCAAATACTGTTTCATTATAAATATCCCATACTCGTTAATTTAACACAGCAATATAATTCTACTTATTGAGAGTTGCTTAAATTTTAAAGTCACAATCAAAGTAAGAAATTCATCTATAAAACGATACTATTATTAGTCACAGGATAAGTCACACATTTCATAAACCACAATTTGTGATGTTATCCATGTTGCTTACACGCCTTAATGTACATTCGTAAAGGTAGTGCTCTCAGGAACAGTTATATAAGAACTATTTTTAAAAATATATAAGATAAGCTAAGTGTCTGAGCCACTGAGTTGTATCAGTGGCAGCCAACAAAATGGAATGATATTTATGCATACCAAGTAACAGATGAAAAGATGTCTAGTGAGCACCAATAAACAAAGATAAACTAAGAGAATAAAACCACAAATATGAATAAATTGAATATCGAAGAATGAAGAAAACATTTCAAAAATGATCGACAATAACATAATTTACTGGATATTAATAAGTAGTATGATAGAATGCACAAAAGTAACTAGATCAATAAGAAATGATTGAAATGAACAAATACCATTAGCAATAGTAGTTTCTTAAAAAGTCTACAATCATGCATTTTGACCACCATGCTAGTCTTTATATAGTTTTATTAGAAAGCACTACTATACTTCCTAAACAGTACATTCGTATTTGAATATCCTTCGATTGAGTGAATTTATAGAAAAAAATTTGACTTTAAACTGAACATAATAAACTTTGAAATTCCAGATTCGAAAATTGCTTACAATAACTTCAAATTCTTAATATAATTGACTCATCAAGTACTGTTATAATTTTTCTTATTACGACCCAGCTACTCTTATTGTTTAGTAATCTCGGACACCAATCCACTCGACAAGTCCCCAAATCAGAACACAGTTGAACAGAAACGTAATGATATTATAAATTACGAGGGTAGATGGAAGTAGGAATCACGATAAGAGAAACGTTAGTATTTTTATAGTTTTTAAATAACAATATTCCGGAGTCTCCCCTAGTTCTGACTGGTCAAGATACAGCCAATCACTGTGCCCCACCACAATTCTGCACAGAACATGCTCCAATCCAGTCTTTATCCCTCCAAAAAGTACATTTTTATGTATACAGCTTTGAGTAAAAAGGTATATTTTAAGCGCTAACATTACCCCCAAATGCCCTGGTACGGCCGAGAGTGGGGAGAGTCTACTTTCCCTCCCGAAATGCTCTCACATGGCCAGCGAATATATAGCCTCTGCCAGGGAAGTCCTACTCACTGCCTTCTCGTGACGGGGGTGTTGTTTACGAAAGTGAGAGGACGAAAAGCGAATGTCCGGCGCTATAACCGGATTGGTGGACACGGAGGGTCCACCTAGGGGAGTTGGAAAACCCTGATTCCAAACCAATGGTGCACATGGGCTCCAGTATCCTGATGGAACGAATGGCGGAAGAACCTGCTGTTGGTCAACGGCAACCATGGGACTGCATCTCCTCACGATGCTCCACTGCCTTGTGGATCAGACCTTTAGGTCAAAGGCTCGGGGTGTGGTCCCCTAAGAAAACCACCTGCTTCGGTTTGGGCACCCGGGCAGTATCACAGCCCACACACAAACAAATGAATGAAATTATGAACTCTATTGACGATATCCCTGGTCATACTAAAAGCAAGACAATTAACATTATTATTATTATTACCTTTATTATTATTATTATTATTACTTACCATATCGCTAATTCACCCCCTTTTATCCCCAATTTGTGTAACCTTACTCTTCAACTTATGCAGCAGCTCGCTCTTGGTGGAAAATCTGTCCTATCTAAACGATCTCCAGTCACTGTCTGGTTGAAAGTGAATGCTTCCACCGATTATGAATACTGAAGCAGTCTTTCTGAAACCACGTACGCCGTTCAAGCTGGCTTCCTTCAACGTTCGCACACTAATGCAGATCAGACAACAGATAGGGCTGGCTATGTCTTTGGAAGGTCTTAATGTTGACGTTTGTTGTCTATCCGAGACCCGTATTCAAGACTCTAGTGAAGTACTACAAATCCGCTCTCCATCTGTCGCCTCGAAAAGCTTGTTCCACGTGCGCTTATCCGGGGACCCTGTGGCATCTTCGTCTGGTCTTGCTGGCGTTGGTGTCGCACTAAGCGCTAGGGCTGAGGCAGCACTAATCGATTGGATCCCCATTAACAGTCGGTTATGTGCTGTTAGATTAGAAAGTTCCATCAAAGTGAGAAATCGGCGTGAGAAACGGTGTCTTTTCGTCATCTCCGCCTATGCCCCGACAGATTGCAGCCCGGATGCAATCAAGGATGAGTTTTACCATCAGTTAACAGTTCTTCTCCAGAAAGCGCGTTCGACAGATATTGTAGTACTAGCCGGAGACTTGAATGCACAGGTCGGGCGTCTAGGCACAGAAGAGAGTCGTTTAGGTGGCCGATGGGGACTTGTTGGTCGCCGGACAGATAACGGGGACCGTTTGCTGCAACTGTGCACAGACCACAACCTGTTTCTGGCCAGCACTAACTTCCGGCACAGTCATCGCCGGTGTGCCACCTGGCGTCCTCCCTCTGCATCCCAAGCCTGGACTCAGATTGATCACATCGCGATCAGCTACCGCTGGCGTGGTTGTGTACAAGACTGCCGCTCCTTTTGGAGTACCTATCTGGAGTCTGATCATGCCCTGGTCTGCGCCAATCTCACCTTACTTTTCATTGGCCGAAGGATTGACCACCACCAACGGATCGATGTTAGTAAACTGGCTGCAACATCTGTTGCAAGTAAGTATCGAGCGGAGCTAGCCTCTAGGCTAGCTACCATCCCACCGAAAAGTATAGACGAGCATTGGTTGCATCTTCACGACGCCATGAAAATGGCGAGTAAAGCCGCTTGCGGCTTCGCGAAACGTCCCGCTTACAAGCACTGGGTCTCTTCTGGCTCCTTACAACTGATGGAAGCCCGTCGGTCTACTCCGGGTGACCGTGAGTTAGACCACAAACGAAGGCTGTTACGTAATGAAATCGGGCAAAGCTTGTGTAAGGACCGGGAAGCCTGGTGGTCGGAGCGTGCTAATGAGATGGAAGCAGCAGCTGCATCTGGTAACTGCCGGAAGCTCTTCCAACTCATCCGAGCCACTGGCAGCAAGAAGTCTGGTGTGAGTGAAACAATCTACGAGGATGACGGGATGCCAATCACTAACATCTGTCGACGTCTTGGACGATGGGCGGAATTTTTCGAAGGGCAGTTCAACTGGCCTGCTGCTCCGGCAACATCAACCAGCCTGTCCTGCTCCCCATGGCCGGTGACGACTGATCCACCAAACGAGGCGGAAGTCCGCAAGGAACTCCAACTCTTGAAACGTTATAAATCACCTGGCCCAGATGACTTACCTCCGGCTCTTTTTAAAGATGGTGGTGACTTTCTGGCTAAGGAACTGACTGCGTTGTTTGGAAAGGTTTGGGAGCAAGAAAGTGTTCCAACATCTTGGAATGAGTCAATAGTCGTCCCTATCTTTAAAAAGGGTTCACGTTGTTCCTGCAATAACTATCGGGGGATAAGTCTACTTTCGATCGCGTCCAAACTATTGGCTTCTATCATTCTTCGTAGGTTGTTTAAAACCCGAGAACGATTGACTCGCGAGGAGCAGGCTGGTTTTCGTTCTGGTCGAGGATGCATTGATCACATCTTCACCCTCCGCCAAATGTTAGAACACCGTCATACTTATTGCAGGCCAACAATCGTAGTGTTTCTTGATATCAGGGCGGCCTTCGATTCGTTGGACAGGACTGTTCTCTGGGTTTGTCTATTGAAGAAGGGTGTGCCTGAGAAGTTCATTAACATCTTAAAGGCCCTGTATACGAACACCTCAGGCAGAGTGAGGGCATACAACCACCTTTCTCCCTTGTTCCATTCGAGCAGTGGGGTTAGGCAGGGTTGCCCGATCCCCCCATTCCTCTTCAACTTTGCCATCGACGACATCCTAGAAACAGCTCTGGTGGATGTAAGTAATGGCGGTGTGCATATGTTGCCTGGAGAACGACTTCTCGACCTTGAGTATGCGGATGATATTGTCTTACTGTGCGATAATGCCCAAGGCATGCAATCAGCACTTAATCAGTTGGCAATCAGTGTCCGCAGGTACGGCATGTGCTTTGCACCCTCCAAGTGCAAAGTACTCCTACAAGACTGGCAGGATTCTCATCCTGTACTCACCCTGGATGGTGATCAGATTGAAGTAGTTGAGAAGTTCGTGTATCTAGGTAGCTATATAAGTGCTGGTGGTGGCGTGAGTGATGAGATTGATGCACGTATAATGAAAGCCAGAGCGGTTTATGCCAATCTGGGCCATCTTTGGCGCCTTCGTGATGTTAGTCTGGCTGTAAAAGGTCGGATCTACAACGCGTCGGTGAGAGCAGTTTTGCTCTATGCTTGTGAAACCTGGCCTCTCCGAGTTGAGGATTTTAGACGTCTCTCTGTGTTCGATCATCGTTGTCTCCGAAGGATTGCTGACATCCAGTGGCAACACCATGTTAGTAATGCAGAGGTTCGGCATCGTGTGTTCGGGCGCAGAGACGATAATTCAATTGGTGTCACCATCTTGAAACACCGACTTCGATGGCTTGGACATGTTTTACGAATGTCGTCCCAGAGACTTCCGCGTCGTGCATTATTTGCCGACCCTGGGACTGGTTGGAGAAAGCGGAGAGGAGGTCAGTGTATGACATGGTGTCGTGGCATGAAAGAGAGCTGCAAAGGGCTAGCTTCCGTTGGTCCTTCACGACTCCCTGGTTGGGGTCCGAGAGATAGTGCAACACAGTGGCTAGAGACGTTATCGGATATGGCTCAGAATAGAAGCCAGTGGCGATCCTGCTGCAACCTTCTTTTACTTTCTACATAAAGAATGGTTCTAACTTTCCTAACTGAAAGAATCTTCTGGTTGTACATTTCAGCCCGCCTTATCTTTTCATCCTTTATCTACCTACTTTCATTATTTTGTGTGGCGCATATGTACCTGGTGCCCTTTTGTACCAATATATATGTGTTTAAATAAATAAAAATAAAATAAATAACCTTTCTGTCTACATCAAAGGAGATGATCAGGGAAAGAAGGAGCGGTCTCTGATGTATATATATATATGGAAACAACTACTAACTTGATTATTTTGCATGATTCTTCTTTACCTGCTGATCTTTCTATTTATCACTTTTATAGATGCCTCCATCAGCTCCAAACAATCGACTATTAGATCGGAGGTTTTTCATGATTAATTCATCTGTAGCTCGATCACCGTCATTTATTAATATGCGTGAAGTTTGTGGTCGACATAAACTAAAACCAGGTCACTATGTGATTATCCCGTGCACATTTAATCCCAATGAAGAAGCTAAATTTATGCTGCGTATATTCTCTGAACGCGCATGTGGTTCGAAGTAAGACAGAATTGCGTTTTTTACTATATTGGGTTTTTATGAAGTTCTTGAATTGCCCCCAAATGCTTTGATACGGCTAAAGGTGGGGAGAATCAGCTCTCTCTCGAAATGCTCTCACATGGCCACGCGTATACAGCCACTGACAGGGAAGTCCTACTCACTGTCCTACCTTTATTTCGAAATCGAGAGGTCGAAAAGCTAATGCCTGACGCCTTAGCCATGTTGCTGGATACGAAGGATCCACGTAAAGTAAATGGTAAACCCTAATTTCAAACCAATGGTGTACATGAGCTCCAGGATCCTGAGGGGACGAATGGCGTGTGAACCTATTGTTGGTCACTGACTATCATGGGACTGAATCTCCTAACGTTGCTCCACTCCCTTTTGGATTAAACCTGTGGATCAATGGCTCGTGGTGCGACCCTCTAAGAAAACTACCTGTTTCGGTTTGGGCACTCGGGCTGTATCATAGCCCTCACACAATTCAATGATAACTACTACTGCCCTCATTGTTATTGTGTAGTGCATATGTATTTGGTGTCCCTTTGTACCAATGTTTATGTATTCAAATAAATAAAGTCTTGAATTTCATAGACGATATCACAGATTGATCTTAGTTAGACAAACATTGAAAACCTAGAAGCACTAAATAGTTTGAAACTCCTCAACAGTGGTTATTCTAATTATTTTTGTTTCTATATTTTTCAAACTGATGACGTTTATAGTACCATGATGAATGATTGTTTCAGTTTCTCCACATAAACAGAGGCTATCTGGTTGATAACGTGATGGCGTTTGAAGGTAACAGCACTGGGATAGAGTCCGGAATGAACATCAACTCGGATTTAGGTACGTCCAACTGACGAGTCTAAAATAGTACGAAACACGTCCTGGATTTCACTGCAAGCCAACATCCATCTTTGCTTGTAACGCTAATGACTTAAGACAATACCGAGCCAATCCGCTTAGGATGCACATATGCCAATAAAGGACTAATGTATTGCAATCCTAAACATCAATGGGAAGATTTAAACAAACAATACAAAAATGAACTCCTAAAAAATATTTTATGGTAGTTATGACAACAGTTTATTATACAAATAGCACTTTTGTGTATGAGTATAGGTTAACTTGTTTTCTTCAGCCACAGTTGACGTTTGAAATTTTATCAGTTTTATTGCTTCTTTTTAACATGAGTATAATTACCATTGTCAGTTATTAAATTTACCCATTTCATAAATTCACAATTTTAATAGTTCAGTTCATGAAAACATGGGAGCACTGGAAGATCATTTCGTCCGGTTTGGGACTCCTCAGCGGTGCACGTCCATAATCCCTCACGTGGGACTCAAACTCAGGACTTTCGGTCCTATACTGGGATGAAACGGTCGTCCAGTGCTTCCAGATCTTCAGTGGTGATCTAACTGAGATCGACTGATAAATTCAACTATTAAAATTACAACAATCTCCATAAATCCCCATTCTGATAAAAATCAACAATTATCATAAATATCGTTAGATTTCAGAGGTATGTTAGTTCTTAGGTAAGTAACTTTAACTTAAAAGTAGTCTCAATGAAAAATGTGGTGGGTAAAATTTATAAATATAATTTCTGTTTTACATTTTCTTGGGTTCAGTGCGTTTATTCGAGAGGACGGTTATTTAAATATTGGTAGACGCTATTTTTATCGGTTTAGCTGTAAGAAATGTGTTAGTTAAGTTACGCCTACAATTCAGTTTGTCAACTGAAGTTACTAAAAAGAATCAATTATGTTACTATCAGTTCTGTCCCGAATATGTTAATGGCAACCTTTTAGACTGGAAAGCTGAATGGTGTGATTTAGAATTACACAATGAATACCTGTTCCCTCAACCTTTTAGGTAAATGTCTTGCTAATAAGTCTCAACTAGCCCGTACTCTAAATCCAGAATATCCTGTCGACCAACTACATCTAACTCCTTAGCATCTCAACATAGTACATATGATGTCGAGTCATTCATTTAAGTGGGCATTTCGCAGCTTGACCGATAGAACTCGGTCAGCTTTAAAGGGTCGAGATAAATATAACACTAGTTATTAACCAATCATTAATCAACTGTGTCGTTTTTTGTTAAGCATACAGTTTTCCCTATATGAAGATGTTTCAGTTTTTCAATTAAGACCCTTTAATCATTTAGTTTTGATCATACTTGTGTACTTAACATTCTCAACACTAACTCTAGATAGAAAGTGAAAACTTTTCAGAATATCTTTGATCTGTAATGACGATATTTTCAGTGTTTTTCACATATATACACAGTTTATGACAAGTTTTGTTTCAACTCTTTAGTCATTAAATGATTGTACAAACAAATATCTTCGAATTCCTGAATTTGGTTGAAGATGTACAAGTTATATCATTTGCCGTACTGTATTCTCCTGCAACTATTATTCTTTGTTGTTTTAAAGTGTTTGAGAGAGTGAGAAAGTGTTGTCTAAAACTGTGAAAATATGAAATTATATAGGTGAATACTGTATATATATTGACTAAGGCTCGTTAAAAGTCAATGGTTCCTTATTGTTGATTGGGATAAACTTCAGAATTGGAAAATAAACTTGTATAACATTCTATGACATATATATAATTTATTTCTCAATTGAATTTTCTAAACTGTTTTTTATATAGTTTTATTGTGTACTGCAGAACAATTTTTCTATCTCTAAATGTTTCAGATCACAAATTGACATTTGTTGATTTTGCTATTGTTGTTTAAATCATTATCCTCTGGGTAGTTGTTAGTATATTCTTCAGGAATGCACATGTACATACACAATTGTATGACTAGAATCATTTATAAACCAAACTTCTCTGTACAGACCCCTGAAGTAAACTATTATCATACTTCGAATTTTCATTAAGTTCTATTTATTTATTTATCTAAACACATAAATATTGGTACAAGGGGGCACCAGATTTATATGCGCCACACAAAACAATGAGAATAGGAAGAGGAAAGGGGTAAGGTGCATATAAGAAAAAAATGAACAACAAGAACCACAGGGTTTATGTTAGTGTAATAATAAGAGTAAAAATGGGGGAAACAGAAATGTACAACCAGAATATCTCTTTCAGTTAAGGAAGTTATGACCACTCTTTATGAAAAAAGTAAATAAAGGTTACAGAAGGATCACCACTAGCTTCTATTTTGAGCCATATCTGATAACGTCTCTAGCCACTGTGTTGCACCATCTCTCGGACCCCAGCCAGGGAGTCGTGAAGGATCAACAGAAGCCAGCCCTTTTCATTTTTCTTTCATACCACGACACCATGTCACATACTGACCACCTCTCCGCCTTTTCCAACCAGTCCCAGAGTCGGCAAATAACGCACGACATGAAATTCTCTAGGATGGCATTCGTAGAACATGTTCAAACCACCGCAGTCAATGTTTCTTGATGGTGACGCTTATTGGATTATTGTCTCTGTGGCCGAACACACGACGCCGAACGTCCTCATTACTAACATGATGTCGCCACTGCATGACAGCAATCCTTCGGAGACAACGATGATCGAACACAGATAGTCGTCTAAAATCCTCAACTCGGAGAGGACAGGTTTCACAAGCATAGAGCAAACTGCTCTAAACAACGCTTTGTAGATCCGATCTTTTACAGCCAGACTAAATTCACGAAGGCGCCAAAGATGGCCCAGATTGGCATAAGCCGCTCTGGCTATCACTATACGTGCATCGATCTCATCAGTCACGCCACCACCAGCACTTATGTAGTTACCTAGATACACGAACTTCTCGATTACTTCAATCTGTTCATTAAGTTCACTTTAACTTGGTTAGTGATTGATGTGTACTATAGAAAGCTAGAAATTATTGCTTAGTTTCCCTGTGTTGAATTAGAGATTACCAACGGTTGTCGCCCACACTTAATGTTTCTAGTATTTTTTTTATCTTCCATTGTGGGGCATAGATTTTACTACATTGAACTTGCGGTTTACTGTAGAATTCTTTTTTTTAATATATTCAATAATCCCAAAAATGTATCTGAATGGTATGCAACAATAATTATACTGTGTTGTTTTTACCTTTTTAAATTTTAGTGAGTTAGATGACGATACTCGGATCAGTGTTATGGGCGGAGTAAGTGTTATAGTGTATTATTTCAACATAATTCATTCACCAAGTAAAGATCTGCGTATTTATCCTTAAGCTGATACTGTGCGTGTATTTCTTTGTAAGTAATTGGACTTAGTACAGTAGTACTGTTTTGTGCGACTCTTATGTAGACAGATATAAGTGATATGTACGTATTTAATGTATGATTTACATATTTTGCAAGGGCACTGTGGGATTTTGCATAAAATAATAAATTGGTTTACCTTACCTGAGATTGCGTTCATTACATTTGGTGTCTCTGCCTCCGGCGAGACAGAGAGGGGCAGTTCTGCAGGGACCGTTGCGGGGCCAGGAAAAGAGTAGTTAGTTGGAGTTGTTTGAGAAGGAAACGTCAAGTGAAGTGGTCTGGTGAGGTGGTGTTGGGTGTAGCAGTCACTTTCGGTGTAGAGGAGGCGTTGGACGTCCCGGATGGCGGGTGGACATCGATTTTAAATGGTCCGACCGGTAGAAAGAGCTACGGAGGTCGGTGTGCCGGCGGACTCGCAATTTCGGTGGGTAGCGAGGCACAGACCGACAAAGGATAAAGCGGCATAGCCATCAGAAAAATTGCAAGAGCGACTTTTTAAAACGGGGACCAGTGTGGTATGCTCCTCTTATGTGGATAGATATAAGTAGTGTGTAGCAGGAACTGAAAGTGGAATGCTTACCAGTGGAAAATTGAAACTAAGAGAACAGGAAGCAAAACGAGGAATATTCAGAATAACAACTAAACTAAAAAAGCGATGGATTATGTAAAGCATAACTGAGGGAAGATGTACAAATGATGTCTTTAATGCCTAGTTGTCATACTTTACAAAAGCACTTTGTGATTGTACTTGAGTTTTCGTTCACTATAGTACTACTCGGTCGACCAAATCAAAGTATTTATGCTAGGTAGGATACAAAACCTGACGTTTAGCGACTGGACAACAGTCAAACCTCTTAACTAACTATTTATCCCTAGTTAAATGCTTAAATATACTAGACTCATTTAATCTGCTAATTTAGAACAACTGACCAACCTTATAAAAAATCCATTGAAACAAAGTTTTTAGTAGGCGCTTATTGATTACAAATTAGGATAGATTAAATTGTAAACTCTTTTAATACAATATTTCTATCACCTTGTTTCTTTTTTTATGACGAATACATAATTTGTGAATAAATATGTGACATGCAAAATGATTGATCACCGTCTAATGATCATCAAGTGGCTTATTTGTTAGCTACTATTCATTACTTCTCTTTTTATATATCTTCTTTAAAGCTGCGTTTTGGTTTATTTTTCTAAGGTGAATGTTATAAATTATTTGTAAATTGTCCACTCTCCCTCTCGAAATGCCCTCACATGACCACGCGTATATAGACTCTGTCAGGGAAGTCCTACTCACTGCCTTCTCGCGGCGAGGGTGTTACTTACAAAATTAAGAAGACGAAAAGCGAATGTCCTGCGCTTTAACCGGGTTAGGGGACACAGAAAGTCCATCTAGGGGAGTTGGAAAACCCTAATTCCAAAACAATGGTGCACATGGGCTCCAGTACCCTGAGGAAATAAATGGCGTACGAATCAATCGTTAATCACCGGCTACTATGGTACTGCATATCCTTACGATTCTCCACTGCCTTGTGGATCAGATCTTTCGGTCAAAGGCTCCGGGTGTGGCCACCTAAAAAAAACCACCTGCTTCAGTCTGGGCACCTGAGCAGTATCATAGTTCCCACACAAATCAAATGAAATATATCTGGTGCCCCTTTGTACCAATATTTATGTGTTTAAATAAATAAATTGCTCCAATCCACATTGAGATAATCTATTAATACATGTATGTATGCATTTGTAAACTGAGTGGTCGAATCGGTATAAACAGTTATATATCATACAGATATCCGTTATATAAATCAGTCAGTCAAACCAATATAGTGAAAATAAATTAAATAAACAGTATGCCAATCAGTTCAGTTGAATAAGCTAACTTTAAATTAAATATTTATTTAATTATTCGTGGAGAGTTGTTCAGTTATAAAATCGTCTGTACTTTGAACTGACTTCATCTAAATAACTATCTTTCATTAGATAATTGTTTCATCTTAATTCGGAACTGTTCAACAACAGTTCCCATCCCAGTTCTTATGGTAATAGCGTTTCTTTGATATCGCCAAATCAGTAATGGTCCTTACTTTCTGTTATATCCTAGTGAAGATTAAATTATAGGTAACTTCTGAGAACTAATAATGAACTAATATTATATATATATATATATATATATATATATATATATATATTGTATAACTATTCAGTAACTAGATTGTTCATATTCATATTCCTCTTATCATAAGCTTTATTTTGACCTATAAACTATTATGATACGATTTACTATTCTTAAATTGTACTCAGTTTATTAATTACAGTCACAGCCACTTTTTGGCTTGATCTTGTACAAATATTATTTCCTATTTTATGGTATGATATGGTCTTCTTGGTTTGTATATAAACCAGTTATGCTTTAAATAAGTGATTTGTATAGTGGGAACTGCTATTGATGTTCTGGACTTAACTGGCAGAGCTAGGAGGAAAATAGATCAATAAGGACACTAGGCTGCTCATACCGGTTGATATATCATTAGTTTGGCACTGTGCCAAGTTTGTATAATTCGTATTCTGATTGGCAAATGAGTCGCGTGATAATTAACCTACCTTCAAAGTTACAACACTTTCAACCTCAATTAGTTTGTGATGTAGCAAACTTATCATCCAGTTTGCTGGATGGTACTTTATCCAATTATTTGAGAATACATTAAATTGTAACATTTTCTGCATTATCTTCTAATGTTTATGAATGATTAATAAATTAGATTCACAATTGATTAATTTCTTTTGATTGACGTATCCATCGGTTTTATTTTCTCCAAAAAAAAATGTAGAATTTGTTGACAAGTCTTTTCATACGTTGATATTTATTAATGAAACGTTAAAAAATTGACCTTGATTTATTGATTTTTCAGTTGATAACTCAATTTAGGTTTTTCAGACTTAATCTTACATAGTAGTTAACAGTTTACTCACTTCAATAATTTCAGTATTTTTATCAGAGATATTAGACTTTCAGTATATCTAAGTTCATCCATTCAATTTGTTAACTTACTTTATGTGGAACAATGATTTAATAGTTAAGGTATTCAAATTGCAACCACTAGGCAATAGGTTCAAATCTCACTTCATATATTTCAATGTGAGGGTGTGATTTGTAGCACTAGCCATTACACCTAGGGTATAGCTCGAAGCTAGGTATACGAGTGTTTACCTGGTAAGTTACAAGAAATAAATTTTAAGATATATTGAAGAGAAAAGAATGAACATTATCATAAATCATTATAAACAAAGATGGATAGGGGCTAGCAGTGGAATCCAGGACGCGCGTTTCGTCCTATTTGGGACTCGTCAGTTGGATGTACCTGCATCTCAGAGTTGATCTTCACTATGGGACTCGAGCCCAGTACCTTTCGCTTCAATCGCCATCTTTGCCTTATAATACTTGTGAGTTAAGGCTATATCGAGGCGATACGCACAGTATGCGCATATGTCAATAAGAGACTGACCAGTTGAAGTCCTAAGCATCAATGGGAAGATCCAAACAAACAATACTAAGTGAACTATCATAAATCGCTAATTAAAAATAACGGTTATTAGTATTTCACTTAACTGAGAATTGAATAGTTTAATAATCTAACTAAATTGGTGTTAGATAATCCATTGTTTCTTCCGTGTGATTGATGTTGTACTTTAGTCGTTTAAGTACATGATCTTTAAGTCCATTAGTGCACCAATTCAACTCAATTCATTCTACTTGTCCCAGTTAATGTATTTTTTAGTATAGAACTGATTTATGTCGTGATGAAACATGTTTATATTTCTAAATTACTTATAATTGTATAGTTGATCGTTTAAAACCTTTACACCAATTTGATACTTTAAGATCATTTCGATATCCATCGAATGCAAATGATAAGTATTACATGTGAGGATATACAGTATCTGATCATCAAGCTAAGTGATAATGTACTTTGGTGCCCTGTAAAAAGAACCATACAAAGCACCAAAATTGGTTACAATAGTTCAGACGCATTCTTTTTCTGATTTTACTCTAGATCACGAGATTCAAAATGATTTCATACTCTCTTATTCCACAAATTCATTCTTCTCAATTCATACTATTTATTCCTAATCTTTTATTCTACTTTCATTACTGTTACTACTTTGGCATTTATCTTGATAATTTCATCTGATTTTGCTATAATGGTTTGATAACTTGAAACAATTCTTATATGTGTCAAGCATTACATTGCGCATTACTAACTGTTTAAAGCACAATCCGTTCTTAGCTATCAACCCCCCAACTAACTATTAGGTTGTATCTCCATCTACTTTTATTTACATCCATATATCATTTAATAACGTTCGAATGTAGTTGGGTTTTTTTTCTTGTTGTATAGACTAGTCTTACTATTTAATCAGTTTATAGTTTAATTACTGGATTTGTTCATATTATTTCTTTGTGTTCAAGTTATTGATATTTACATTTGTCCTCTTTTGTTTTCCCTATCAAATATTAATAGCCTGATCAACCAATTAGAACAGCTGATGATAATTTAATAGAGAAATTAGAAGTTGTCTTCAATAAAATAGCTGGTCCAAGTGGAGCAATCACATATACTCAATTACAAGATATATTAAATGAAGCATTTACAAAAGGTAATCTCCAGTAGGGTTGGTTTACTTATTGAATATTTCTTACTAGGAGGTATATATATATATATGTTTATGAATGCAGGCATACTAAAGTTTCTGAGATATAATGTGTTGATATCTATATTTACTATTATCAATTAACCTTTCAGGTTTTCGAAGTTTTTGTTAACAATCAAAGCATGGATAAAACAAAACCAGCTACTTATTTGAATATAGTAGTTAGTTCACTTACATATGATAATAAGTGAAAACTAGATTTGTTTTTAAATGTATGTCTAAGAGAGATAGCTAACATATTATTTTCGTACAATTTAGAAATCAAAACACTTGTATTTTAATCATAGTATGTTGGGATGACCCTGCAATTTTCTTGCAAGCGATATGACAAGCTCAGGGGTCATCAAGGAGCATTTCAACTAATCAGCGATTAATTAGGAGTTATGCGAAGTTATGTTACTAAAATAACGAAAATGAAAAAGTCACATGTGGAGATCCTGATTGGCTGATTAACACACTGATACTATGTTTAGCAGTATTCTAGAACTTTCAGTAAAACTCAAGGACTCTTAAATTACTATAAAATCCCTATATTTTCTTTACATAAAGGAACCCTGTAGTAAAGTGCTTCTCACACACTTTGTGCCTTCTCTCTGGTCTTCAAGTCGCGGAGTAGTTCTAGCTCGGGGGTACGGAACTAGCTTAGGGAAACGAATATAGCGTTCACAATCGGCCAGACGTAACATAGTATTATACAGTTGACTTATAAAATTTGAACAATTATTTCACATCCACTACAATCCTTTCTCGTTTGTATCTAGTGTGTATTTTTGTTAAATCTCACTCTATATATACATATGACATATAACTAGTTGTAACTGTATGTGAATATTGTGTTGGCTTAGGGCAACTCACCAATATCACGCAACAAAAATCGAAATCCGTTTCATCACTAATAACTTGTATCAAAGATAAGCTGTTATTGGTCCTAAATTCGGTAGCTTCTCTCCCTACAGAACATAGTAATCAATCTAAACAATACGAGTATCATATTTCAAGCGTATTAAGTTTATACACAGATATACCCGACCATAAAATAATAAACAATTATACATGACCATGCCAAAATGTGGTTGTAATTAAGGGGAGAAACTGTGAATAATAAAGTGACAAAGGATTAAGAATAGTAAATAATACAACATTAGTTAATGGGTTAACCGAAAACTCATAATAAAAGGAATATACATATAGTAATCTAGTTACTTAATAATTATACAATGAGATCGGAACCATATCTGAGTTATGCACAATAATATGACGAAGGTTATCTGCAGTGTTTTCAATATACAATGTGTTGCACCTAGTTTTCAAACAATTGTTTCATTCATTTAGTGAGTGAATAAGTGCTGCCTAATGGAGTTTAATTTTCATAAACTATTTGACTTCAAGTGTCTGGAATTATCCTTAACTGTTGTCTTAAACTGTCAGTGTAGCACAACTCAACATACTGAAAAAAACGTTTTGTGAAAATTAAGGTTTGAAATAAAATCTTGAATGATAATTATCCTCTAATATACACCACTCACATTAAACAAATAGAACATTGAAGGTGTTGCAGGTGACTTCAAACGAGTAGGGAATAAATTTTGTACAACAGCTTAATATAGAGGCGAAAATACAGCACTGAGGGACACTATTTCAAATAAGTGCCTTCGGTTAAAGGAGACTATTTCAGAGTTTTCCGACTAGCTTCAAAAAAGTAACACTAAACATTTTATCTATCTAGTCGATGCATTTACTGTGAAAATTGTTCTATCTGAAAATATCATGAATAGCAGATGGTTTTATCAGTTTTGTATGAATATGCAAAACTTCAGGGATTCATTATCGACAACATAAGTCCTGTCGCCAGATGTTCAAATGTTGAATAACCGAAAACTATTGAGTAGCGGCTAATTATTAAGAGGTGAAATTTTAAACCATGCTTATTATTCATTTATCAATGAAAAAGTTTCAATAAACTCTGTAACTGTATTGTGTATCCATTTAGTCTTCTAATCTCAAGCTCTTCTAATAACCCCAGGCTAGATCTACATGACAACTTGAACATAAGAGAAAAAGATTCGAAGTTTAAGAATAACGTTTGTTCATGTACAGAAAATCGGGGGTATTTATAGTATTTCAGATGGCCGTAGATTCCCGGAAGTTCCTGAAACCTTACTACATATAGCAGCAGGATAGGTAACTATTCAATCAGAAATGTGGCACGCGACTCCTCACCCTCTAAATTTTTTTGAGAAGCTTCCGTTCAACGCTAATTCGATATAATGTTTCCTAGTGTTTTCAAAGCCTTTCTGAACTTTTTCGAGGAATTCTTTGTATCTCCTCAATGGTACCAACATTGAATTATCACTTACATCAGATAATACGTAACAAGAAAAAAACAAATTAATGGTGGACAAAGATCACTTTTTATTGTTGATTATAGTATACATTAAAAATTAATGTTTTCATACCCAACTGATAGAAAATTCACAACTGAATAATTTAATTGATGCAATTTTCTTTCATTTGTTTCTGTTGATTTTTTTCTTAGATTTTCCATTCGATGGATTTAGTCGAGAAACTGCTAGAAGTATGATGGCCTTAATGGATGTATCCTTTTGTTTTTAATTCTGTTTATGTGAATTTAATTTTTAGATTAGCAGTTTTGCAATAAACTTTGGAGATTAACAATAATAAAATATATTAAAAGGTGGTTGTGCAATATTGTGAAATGCTTGAAGTTAAACAATATAAACCAGCAGATTTGCTCTCCATGAAACTTAAAGTTTCTGGATTCGATCTCTGTTAAGGTTGTAGATGTGTACTACTGAAGAGCTCCATCATCAAGATGAAACAGCTACTCAGTGTATTCGTGTTCTTAATGATTGTGAGTGCGTTATACAAACTAAGAAAATCAGCAATCTTCACAATGACAAAATGAGATCAACTGGAAGAATAACTGAAGAAAGGGCCTAGAAGCATTATACAGCTAGCCACTTCATCTTTTTATCCCAGCTTAGCAGTGTATGGAAATGTTATCATGACATGAATCAGATTTCAAGAAGCATTCCTTCGGATATACTTCCTTCCCACACGCAGATGGATTCAATTGTTTTTTTTTTCTATTATTTACAATAACTTATCCAGATAAATTTGGTACCAATGATCTGAATATTCTTGTTCCTTTAGATCTAATCTCATTTTGCTTGACTTGAATGATAAGTTAAATGTTGATTCAAAATACAACTCAAAGTACTACCTAAATTGTTATATCAGTCGTTAAAATTGATGTCTATATTATTGAACTGTTAATCTTATCCTTTTCATTCATGTCCATTTCATTTATCATTCTATTCAAATAAGTTAAGACATTTGGTAACTGGTTTCATTTTTAAAAAGAATGAATACATTTCAGCGTAAAAATTTTCTTCTCAACATCATTTTCTAAAGCTGTTCATTTGTATTCATATGTCTTGTATATAGTAACACCTGTTATAAAAACTGGGTGTTGCATTATCTATCAAAGTAATCAAGAATTAATGTCATAGTTTTGAAAGTAACAAGAAGTAATAATTTATACAATAAAAGCAAGTCAAAAATATGATTACAAGAGCTCAAAAACTTGTCACTGAACCAAATGATATGAAAACGGAAATAAATTTAATTACATCTACCTTAATTAAGAACAATTATCCAAAAGATTTTATTAAAAGAATAATTAAGAATGAAAGAAAAGACGACATTATTAATACAAAAAGATTACAGAAAAAAGAATGGGTTAACACAGTAGTGATCCCATATCGGAAAGGAATTTCGGAAGATATTCGAAGAATCTTAAATAATCAAAATATAAGAGTATTTTTTCGAACAAACAATACTCTAAAATCAAAATTAGTAAGAATTAAAGATCCAATACATAAAGAAGAACAACAAAATTGTGTCTATGAAATCAAATGTAGGGATTGTAATGCAACGTATGTAGGTGAAACATCAAGACAACTGAATGTGAGGGTGAAGGAACACAAACAATGTTTGAAACATATTCCTAAATCCTCAGATGATGTAAGGAAATTGGAGAACAAATCAGCTATAGCATTACATTCGTTAGAATCAGGTCATACAATTGATTTCGATGGCACAAGAATCCTTCAAAAAGCTTTTAATTCTTACAAGGAGAGACAAACAGCTGAAGCCCTATACATTTGGGCTAATCCAAACAATATTAATAGGAGGGATGGAATACAATTAGCAGTGCCATGGCAGCTAATCATTAATAAGTAACAACCTGAACTCCTTAATGTTTTTATCGAATTCGTATTATCTAAAATGACAACAATTACACTCAATGATTCTAATCTATTGTCTTATCGGAATTTGTTAAACAATTCACTGAAACATTAAAAATGACACATACATACAGTCAAAATTACGCTCTTCAAATTTCACCTTTTATTTTTATTTGTTTAATTATTCTTCATGTTATACATGCTGTGACACAGATATGATTCATATCACATATATTACAAATTGTATGTTTCCTTATAAATTCACTGATAAGAGACAATATATGAATGTGAATGTAATTTTTATCCTCTCATCTCTTACGTTTTCTATACAATATATTATATGAACACTCATCACTTCACATCACAATATGTTATATGAACACTCTTCACTACACATCACATATCTCTTAAACATACCTAGTTTAGACTATTGTTAACGTTGATTGGATGACCTATTCAGTGTATAATGAACTCGGAGAACCATGTACCTATTTATATTTGATAATTTTGATGTTTGATTATAATTCCTTGAAAAAGCTTGGACCAGATTGCCAGGCGAAACGTTGGATTTAATTTAAAAATTCATTCGCTGAGATTTTACAAATATATTATTCCTATTTAATGTCTTACTTCAACTCGGCGCTCAAATACTGTGAAACTATTCGTTCTAATTTAGACGAGAGTTCTTATATATTATTCTGCAATCGCATAAAATTATCGAAGAAAATGTACAATTGGTATAACCACCGAATTTTCAATCTACGCTGTTTAAACCATCATGTTTATCCAAGAACGTTACGAGTCAAGACTCCAGACGATTCACTACGATCACAAAAAGCAGCTATTACAGCTACTAGAGTATTTCTTAGAGAACGTATTCATAAATCCACTAAAAATTTGGAATCTCTACGTTCACGTATTACAAATATTGATAATGTTTTATCTTTAATTATACCACCAGAAATGAAAACAAATGTTGTTGAATTTTTTAAACATAAAGAAAACTTTTATGATCAAATTACAAAAAAACGTCAAATAAGGAAATTCGAACAAATGTTTAAACATTCATCAAATTCTAATAACGACACGATTAATAACAATTCCAAAGAACTAGATATAAACAAAATTGTTGTGAATCTATCTGAAAAACATTTAAATCAACATGAACTATCGTTGCTTAAAAAAGGCCTCAATTTCAATTTGAGCAAAACACAACTTATGGCTTCAGAAATTATTCCGGTTATTGAACCGGCCTTAAACAATGTTCCGAATGATCAAGCGAATTCAGTGAGATTTAAAATCTCAAATGCGTTATTGAAACAAAAACCAAATGCACCTAATATATGTAAAGAAGAAATGAATGCTCTAAAACAACTACGTAAAGATAGAAAAATTGTTATTATGAGAGCTGACAAAGGAAACACCACTGTCATTATGAATAATTCTGATTATGAGAAAAAAGTCAATGAACATCTCCAATCTGGACCTTATGAAAAAATCAAGATTAACAAATGTAGAGCAACTTTGAATAAGTTGAAAGCCGAAACAGCCAAAATGCTACAGAATTTAAAACCGAAACTAGGACCATCTCTATGGTTTTCTCTATATCCAAAAAGCAACAAACCATGCAGATTTTATGGATTACCAAAAATACATAAAACAAATGTCCCAATAAGACCTGTTGTGGATTATACCAATTCACCAACCTACAATCTTTCTAGATACCTAGCTAAGATTCTTAAGCCATATGAAAGCAAAATCAAACACGGAATAAAAAATTCTAATGTTTTTAAAGATATTATCTCTAATATTCACATAGAAGAAGATGAAATAATGGCAAGTTTTGATGTTTGCTCATTATTCACTAATGTTCCAATTAAGAAAACACTAGATATTATATGTAATCTATTAGATTCTGACACTGATCTTAAACAACGCTGTCCTTTAGTTACCTCGGATATTATTAAAGCGTTAGATCTATGTTTACGTTCAACTATATTCAGTTTTCGAGGGGATTTATACAGACAGACAGAAGGTGTAGCTATGGGATCACCAGTTTCACCAATTGTTGCTAACCTCTTTATGCATTCATTGGAAACTAGTGCCATCTCATTATGTTCTCAGGCACCAAAAGTATGGTTAAGATATGTAGATGACACCTTTGTCATTATAAAACGGAACCATTTGGATGAACTGTTTAAACTTATCAACAACTTTGATAGAAAAATCAAGTTCACCAAAGAGTTGGAATCTCCTGAAAACACATTACCTTTCCTAGACTGTTTAGTAGAAAGGAAAGTTAATAATAGCTTAAAAATTAGTATATTTCGAAAGCCGACAAATTCAGGAAAATTTCTAGATTTTAAATCGGCACACCCACACTCAACCAAAGTGACAGTAGTCAAAAATATGATTACAAGAGCTCAAAAACTTGTCACTGAACCAAATGATATGAAAACGGAAATAAATTTAATTACATCTACCTTAATTAAGAACAATTATCCAAAAGATTTTATTAAAAGAATAATTAAGAATGAAAGAAAAGACGACATTATTAATACAAAAAGATTACAGAAAAAGGAATGGGTTAACACAGTAGTGATCCCATATCGGAAAGGAATTTCGGAAGATATTCGAAGAATCTTAAATAATCAAAATATAAGAGTATTTTTTCGAACAAACAATACTCTAAAATCAAAATTAGTAAGAATTAAAGATCCAATACATAAAGAAGAACAACAAAATTGTGTCTATGAAATCAAATGTAGGGATTGTAATGCAACGTATGTAGGTGAAACATCAAGACAACTGAATGTGAGGGTGAAGGAACACAAACAATGTTTGAAACATATTCCTAAATCCTCAGATGATGTAAGGAAATTGGAGAACAAATCAGCTATAGCATTACATTCGTTAGAATCAGGTCATACAATTGATTTCGATGGCACAAGAATCCTTCAAAAAGCTTTTAATTCTTACAAGGAGAGACAAACAGCTGAAGCCCTATACATTTGGGCTAATCCAAACAATATTAATAGGAGGGATGGAATACAATTAGCAGTGCCATGGCAGCTAATCATTAATAAGTAACAACCTGAACTCCTTAATGTTTTTATCGAATTCGTATTATCTAAAATGACAACAATTACACTCAATGATTCTAATCTATTGTCTTATCGGAATTTGTTAAACAATTCACTGGAACATTAAAAATGACACATACATACAGTCAAAATTACGCTCTTCAAATTTCACCTTTATATTTTTATTTTGTTTAATTATCTTCATGTTATACATACAGGGACAGATATGATTCATATCACATATATTACAAATTGTATGTTTCCTTATAAATTCACTGATAAGAGACAATATATGAATGTGAATGTAATTTTTATCCTCTCATCTCTTACGTTTTCTATACAATATATTATATGAACACTCATCACTTCACATCACAATATGTTATATGAACACTCTTCACTACACATCACATATCTCTTAAACATACCTAGTTTAGACTATTGTTAACGTTGATTGGATGACCTATTCAGTGTATAATGAACTCGGAGAACCATGTACCTATTTATATTTGATAATTTTGATGTTTGATTATAATTCCTTGAAAAAGCTTGGACCAGATTGCCAGGCGAAACGTTGGATTTAATTTAAAAATTCATTCGCTGAGATTTTACAAATATATTATTCCTATTTAAAAGCAAACAATGACTATCTACTTGGACTGATGCATATGTGTGCCTGGTCCTACGCTGTAGCTGACTGACTTTTTTAAAAAATATTAAGAGTAAAATGATAATTAGTACTTACGATTTGTAAAATTCGAAGGCGTGCTAGAACTATGGAATAATAAGGTATTGAACATAACTCTTTTGTACACAGAGGTCGGTTTTGAAATGATGCATTTCTATAGCCTTAGCTGTGCACCAATTTCTCATCCAAACCTTTTTTTATTTCAGTTCTTCTTACTTTGCATGTTATTTACAACAACAATTCTCGGGTTGCGATGTGATGAGAGTTGACCATATATTCAAGAATTGAGAGTATGCTTAGTAAGCAAATAGCTGAACAGTACTCTGTGTAGCTATCTAAAGGGGAATGCAAATCAATCAATACTTCAATCCATGAACACTTTGTCAACTCTGGCCATATCCCACGACGAAAATTGTCGTATTTTCTCCGTTTGTATATTATTGGATGCTGCTCCTCATACTCCAGTAGTCCAACTTACATTACCCGCTCCTACTCTCTGATGTCATTGCTTTAAATACCTGTTACTTTTCTCCATTCTTGGTCTTTTTATTTGTAGCTGCTTCGAGTGTGCGATTTGTGGAGAATGATGGTTTTAGAGCTTGCTTCTACACTTCATTAATTAAGGCAATTCAGTTTCTAATATTTCTACCATTTTGGCATTTGTTTTTGTCAATCTGGCTGTGCTGATATAATGTAACATTTTGAACCGATGCATATGTGCCAAGTTCTGTATTGCTTAAAACTTTAATCCAGCTAAATAGATTAGATTTAGTTTTTTATTGGATTATCATTGGCTTTGTAGTCGTTATAAAATGAGAGTACATTTTAATCCTAATTTATATGATTAGTCAAATCGTTTATATTATCCTTGACCATGTTCCGTATTAACATGTAATGTAAAATAGGCTGATTTAAGCGGTGGTTTGGGCTTTGATGAATTTAAAAAGCTATGGATGGAACTACGCATTTGGAAGGTACTTTCATCTTATTAATTGTTTTTAGAATTTGCCATGCCCTATAGTACGTTTTTAAAGGAAAAGTATAATTCGTTACATTTTCCTGTGTCATTTACCCCATTTATTATATATTTTAACTTGAATTACGATCGCCATCAAGAATATTGTTAGTGTTTAAGAAAATTTGGATTGATTCAGTCGTGTAATACTACTCTAATCTAGTTAATTATAGGGAATAGTCATGTTTTATTCCTATAATAACTGTATGATTTAGAACATGACGAATATAGTGAAGAAATGAGGATTCTCATATTATACTTGGATTAAATTCATTAATTCTAATATCATTGTTGGTCTTATCATTAACACGTACACCCATACAACCGAGCTCCATTCCAAATTTAAACACATCCACATAATATCTTTGTTCTTGTATCACAACAAACAATTGTCACTGTAGCCCAAATACTAAACTTGATTTTTCCAATGTTCTCATTTTAGGATCAGTATTTGGAACCAAACATACTAAACAGAAGTTAATATAATCTCGATAACTACTTCCAATCATATCTATCAGTTCTCCATGGTGAAGTTCAATAGTGAAAGGAATGACATTTCCAAACACAGTACTACTGTAAACGACTGAAATATTAACGTCCTTAAGTAGATAGACACATCTAGTCCTCTCTACTATTATGTGACACTTCAAGAACTGAATCTCCACTGTATAGAGATATCTAGGTAGTATAGACCACCTCTCCAGTTATAAGTAATTGCAGTGTTTATTATATCTAGTGAAGCCTTTTAATTGTGGTTTGAATGCGAAGACTAAACTATAATTCATAATATAATAAAGATGAATATGTTTATTTTGAATTTAAATAGAGAAAGCTGACTTGGTTTTTAATTATACTAAGAATTTGTGATGGGATTAATTAACAATTGAATATTTAAAAATAATCTTAACTTATCAAAAAATCTCAAGAAAGTTAGGCAGTAAATACGAATGACTACGTTGGGTAACCGTTCTACACGATTATTTCCATCACGATCGTGAAAGCGGTAGCTGATCACCAAATATTGTTCGAATGTTTAATTTAGTAAATTTGTTTTCTTAAACCCAATATATTTCTTCCTTAAGATTAGATTTATGCATGAAGCTGATAATAAATATTTATTAATTTTTATTTGCATTTCCTCTAAACCCATCAATTCATTATTTCAGACTATTTTCAAAAAATTCGATGGTCATACTGGTAGCTTAGAAGCTTTCGAATTAAGAAATGTAATGAGGACAGTCGGTGAGTGAAGGAAGTTCTTTTATCTCATTTGTCAGGTACATATTCGTGTAATTGACCTCGAGTCACATTAAGTGTGAATACTTGGTTACTTAAAGCGAAGTAGATTAAACCGGTTTAGAACCTGTCACGTAATGGCTAAAAGTCGAATGTCTTAACAACTAACCCACTACTTCGCAGTTGGGGAAATAATATCTGCTATCATATAAACCAAATTTCTCATAAACATAAATGATAATAGAAAGCAATACATAATAAAGATTTAGAGCCTAATATTGATCGACGGAGTACTGTAGTCGGACAATATATATTGTTGACTCTGAAAAACAAACCTATTGAAATATCCAGTTCCGGACAAGGCGATGTAATTTGAAATCCATCCCTAAAAAAAGAAAACCTCTGAAAAATCATAGGATTGAATTCTAAAACCATCTGAAGTAAAGAATCCGAACAATTTGAAACTTCTACATCATCATAGGATCGAAAATTTTACCAAGAAATATCGAAGTATGTCAATTTCCCCTAAGAGTCAAAGATTTATAAACCACTCAGGTTTTTTTTCAAAGTACAATGAAATCATAACTCCTGACTTGAAGAAGTGACATTAATGTGTATGTATACTTTAGTTGATATGTTCAGTCTAAAAGATAAATGTGAACTGCAAAGTACTAGCTATAACCATACAATAATTGAGACAAAAAAAACAACTGTACATAATAATACAGTGGTAATCGTAGACGGACGATTTAAAGTAGTGACGAATAACTACTAGGATTAATTGATCTTTTACCAAGCAATTCTAATCCTTGGTTGCAATATGTATCCAGCCATGTTTCGTTCAAAGTTTTTAGAGGAATTCTTCTGATCAATAGTGCACTCTAGGTCTTCTATACAGATCGTGTGTACAGTACTGTATTTGTATTTTCGACCATTACAACCGGTCAGTTAGTCATTACCTACTTATATATCAAACTTAAAACACAATCACCTCTTTTTATTTGATACGCGAATGCACTGAACATAATCCGTGTAGTGCCATATAGTCCGGCACCGTGTTGTTGCTGCTAGACAATAATACATTTCATAACCAACCAGTCAGTGATATTATATACTCTTTGGACCTAGTAGTAATGCATTTTAATCCCCATTAGGCCGTCATATGCGATAGTTATCATTCTCTCTACTTACCAAGTAATCCTCTAATTACTATATTTTAAATATCACAAAACTATCAAATTTATTTCTTTTCAATAATATGGTTATGATCTTATGAGAAAATCTTTTTTCCGCATTAGGTTTTCATGTCAGTAATATGATTTTCAAAGCTATTGCTTGTCGATATGCAAATGAAAAAGGTCAGATTTTATTTGATGATTACATTTTGCTATTGATTCGACTATCCACGGTTTTCGAAACGTTCAAAGCACAAGAGCGTACTCGAGATGGCCGAGCTGTCTTTGAAGCTGACGATGTAAGTTTGAATTAGATAATTTGTTTCAACTTGTTGTTGTATGTTACGTGATTGGGGGTAGTCGGGAGGGAATCATGGATCTAGGTTTCTTATTTGTTGGGACTTATCAGCAAGATATTAACTACAATCTAGAGGGAACTAACGCTTCTCTTGGTATTCGAACCTGCCCTACCAGGTTCTGGTCTGTGACATTACCACTGAGATATTTAGAATTGGTTAGTCAACCATCTAGCATCCCAATATAGTGCATGCGTCACCAAGTCACTCAGATTAGTGGCCACGTTGCAATTTGGTCAGCACTAAAATACTAAGCAAACGTGACATTGACCATTACACAATCAGTTGCAAGCAATCGCATACTATACTGGCAGTGTACAGAAATTCTAAATTCGAAAAACGAAGCTATTTATGATATAATTCAAGCGTACAGCCCGAGCAATACGACCAGTAATAAAAGAAACAAGAGAATAAGAAAATGTCTCATGTTGAGGATGGTCATCGGCCGTTGTATTGGCTACCAATAGATCCTCGATATATGGATATACACAAGATAAACTTCGGACGACTTTACCAATGAATCATTGTAAGTTTGAGTTGAGTTAGACAGAACGGCATATGTAAAACTCCGTACAGATCAAACGGTGACCACTGCAGTACTTGAAATATCTGGCGCTATGGGGATATGATATAAGCAATCATCGCAACAACGGTGATCTTTATGTGGAGAATCAGCACGCAGCTCTATAGTGCATCTTTACTAGCTCAACAACTAAAACTGTGACAACTTAAATTCGATCAGTTGTCAGTAAGCAGTTTCCAACCTGTATTCCTAATCTTCACTTGTTTCATACGATTTACACTCCGTTACAGAAATTTAACATCAAATCTACTGTATAACTGTTTTCAACCACATTTTCCATATACTACTAACCTACACCTTACGCAAAATTATCCTACTTATTCTTCCGGGAATATTCCACAGAATAGATTTCAAATGTAATACATCAAAGTTTTTTTTCTGATATAGACTCAGTGGATCCATTCTTAACACAATTCATCGAACTACACACCAGCCGGATTATTAATGCCGTTATAAATTATCTTTGTACAAGATCGGTGATTCTCATTAAAACCTGGTTTGTTATTTACTATGCTGCAAAAAAAGAGCCGTCTCATTAATAGAATGTGTCCTAAGCGTCTTCGAATCATATCGTCAACTTATTGCTGAACATTACTATGCATTTGTTATTTTAGTAATATATGAGTTATAGTTTTTAATCTGCTCATTCTTATTTTAAACTAATGCTTAATATATTATACATTCATTCTTTCGTTTTGTTTTTTCCAGTTTATTCGCTCAGTTATATATATTTAGAGGTTCAAAATAAACTGCCATCATAATATTATTTGTGATAACAGGTTTGTATGTATGATACATATACACACAACAGAAGAAACGGCCTACTTGTATGTGTATACAACTCATACAGAGATGCCGACAGTAACAGTTGAATTATTTTGCTATTTGATTTTTCTGCTTTGCTCTTGCATGCTCAAAAGAAAACGTCCAATATATTTCTTATCTTACAAAATGTTATTTATACCTTTTGATTTATAAAACGCACTGGTTTGTTTTTATTTACCTGATTATTTTTAACTAGATTATAAATAGTTCTTATTGAAATTGTCGTAGAAGTTGGAATCGGTTGAGCCAGTATAATACTAAGAGATTTTGATGAAATTTCGTTCTTTGATGGTTTGGTCGTGGAGCTTTCATCGTTCTTCTGTACGACATCATCAGCACAAACTTCAAGTAGAAGTGAAGCGTTCGAAGTTCTCCATATGTGACTCCCAGCTTGTCCTGTAGACCTCGATCTAGATTGGTTATTACTGACCTTAAACCTGTCATTGTTTACTTCTTTATTTTGATTGTCTCATTGGTTTGATTCTTGGCCATATATTTGTCGATAATTTTTCTGATTGATTGGTATATTGGATCGATTACAGTGTGTTTGTCAATTGCTGATTGACCTGAGTGCTAGGCGTCTAAAAATTCCCTGGTGTTTTTGAAATTGCCTCTATCCAGGATCTCAACATTTTCCCGGTCAAATGTATGTCCACAGTTGTTCACATGTGTTGATATAAGCGATGTTCGTGCAGGCGAAGATGAAGGGGGCGCCCACTTTACCGGATGTAGTGCTTTTTGCTGTTGGAACAATCTATTTGGCAGATGATGTTCGGTTTTTCTCCTTTTGTTATTTCGTCTTTTGGTTCTCATAAGATTGATTGAATGGATATTGTTGCTTTGTATGCTACACATATTCCAAAGGACTTCAACAATCTCGTGATTTCTGACATCTCTTGTATATATGGTAGGATGATCCATTTGTTGTTTTCTATGCCTGATTTTGTTTCTGCTGATGCGTGTAGTTGATATTTTTTGACGACGAGCTGGAAAACACAATCTAACCAACAACGCCCTCGATTATATAAAGTTCACAATTACACAGGAGTCAGACAACAAACTATCATTCTTGGATGTATTATTCACTACAACCGACACCGGAAAACTGAAGACTCAAGTATACGGGAAGCCGACCCACACATATCAAGTTCTCAATTATAGTAGCAACAACCCAAGAACTCAAAAACCAACTGCGCATAAACTTTTTTCAAGAGGGCAAGGACACATTGAAACACACTTGCAGCGCGGAAAAATGAAATAAAATATCTAAAGACTATCTTTCAAAAGAACGACTACCCACTCAAGTTCATCAAAAAATACCAACCAAATGTATCAGCGGAATCAAAATTAGGACAAGCTAGAAGTCATACATTGAGAAATTCGAACGCTTCACTTCTACGTGAAGTTTGTGCTGATGTTCAGAAGAACGATGAAAGCTCCACAACCAAACCATCCAGCTAAGAGAACAAAACTCCGCTAAAATCATCCACCTGAGCTACAGATCCTGACCATCTCGCTGTAACAGATTATTTGCTTACTAGTTAGAATAAACACTATGAACGCGCATAGACAGAATACATGTCCTTTTTTAAATTTTACAATGCTATTATTATTATTATATTAATATCGACTAAGTTAGATTTCACAGTAAACTGATTCTGTGGCTTTTAGGACCGAATAAAAACGTGATTAGGTAAACTGAACATTGAAGATGTAACATATACATAGATTGGTTTTTTTCATTCACTGATCCTACAACAATCCACTGTCGTCTAATTTTAGAGCATTTTGATCAGTAATTACTCATTACTGTTCTTTATATATATTAACAAACCCTATTAAGGTTAAGTCGTATTGCAACGTATCTTGAATTGGCTGAAAATTAACCCACCTAAATTCACTATCCTATCTTCATACAAGTAGTTATTTCTATGAGGCGAATTATAATCAGTTAATGGAGTGCTTACTAAGAATAACTAGGCTGATAAGTACTTTTGGTTATTGTATTGCACACTAAGATGAACATTTAAGAAAAAAGAACTCAGTTCAGGTCTACTCATTATATTAGTGAGGCTTGCAGTGACGAAACATCCGTTCAAAAAGCTACACTGGTCATTCCGTTTAAAAGACATCACCTGTCTAATTATTGGGCTATTATATATACTGGGTTTGCTGCGAGGAGAGATATTGATCGTTTCTCAACTGCATACAACAGTTTTTATGTATGTGTTGTGGACGCTGTGCAATACATGACGAATAAGACTAATGACAAATTATTCCCATTTTAAAACAAGTAAATTGAAAAACAGACGTTTACTGATTCAGTTCATTATATATTACAAATCCTGTCTTTCATTACAACTTGTTGAATGATACAATATCTACAGATTGGACATGTTCCGTAAACTCTTTTATAGATTCTTCGAGGAAGTCAGTTCCAACCTGAAAGTAAATAGAAGTAGGAATTTATTATATAAATATTACGTTTGATCAGATTTATCACTTAATGTTATTTAACTTTGTAATTAAACTGGACTTATGTGTCAAATCATGTAGTGAAGATGATTACTGGTAAAATGACTGAGATTTTAAATGTTGGACAAATTAGTTATGCAGAATATTGTCTACACATAATAGTCTCAGTGATTTGTAGCATAAACTAACCTTGTCATCTTCAACGACACAGCAGATTTGGAGCTTTTTTATACCAAAAGCGATGGGCACTAGTTTGGATGCACCCCACAAAAGGCCATCTGCTTTAATACCTTTCACCATAGAGGTAAGTTCTTCCATATTTACTTCATCATCCCATGGTTTCACTTCGAAGGTGATACTTGACTTTGCCACCACAACGGGCTCTAAACAAAATAGAAGTTGGTGTATATACAAACACTTAATAAATAATAATTCACAAACTCCATGCCGGTGAAAAAATATAAATAAATACAAGTTGATTAAGGATTGAGATGTCATCTTACAGGTCTCGGCAAGTTTCTTTATTATCAGTGCATATTAGTAGTAGTGTGATCATACTTTGTAATCAATTGAATTCAATCAAAATTTCACACAATCTTACTTCATGAGAGAAAAATTAAATTCATAATTTTCTCTACTTTCATGAATAAGTTCACAACGAACGCTTTGATGCAAAACACTAATTAGTAATAAATACAATAAACCGTACAAGTGTTGTAGACCCTATACTATCACACTGCAGTACTGTGTCGTCATGGAACACGTGCAAATTCTGAGTCTTAGCACGAAAATGTAATAGCTATCCTGAAAAAGTATTGGGTTGTAGTTGATTAATCTACAGTTCGTAGACAATTGTTTCGCAATGTGCTTAAGTTTTACACATATTATGGAACAAAATTTTGTTGTAATCAACTAGAAAGTGCTACTTAAATAGCTTAGATTATTTAGTGAAATGTAAAATTTCCGAGGATGACTGGACCATATCTTGGGGAAGTTCATATCTACCTACTTGAAGTTGTACTAACTTTATTAGATTGAAAGTAGACTCTCAGTTATTTGATTAGACGACAGCACTAACTCATCCAATCGATGTTAACTTGAATGGTTTAGAGTTTTTTGAACTGCAATCACAAAATATAATCAGTGAATGCAATAAAAAACGCGCTATCACCAATTTTCTGTCGAGATTAGTAGGGGTAAGCCGGTGTAAGACTTCACACACATACAGATCACTTTACGTAAATACATCGGCATAATATGAAGGAATTTAAAAAACCAGCGACTACTTTGGAACCACATAGGAATCGTTATTAAAATAAGTTTTTAGAATAGTTTAAATACAGATCCTAAGGCATATTTACATTACTGCTATAGTATCTAATGATCAAAGAAGCATAAATACCCTCGTTTTATCTTGTTACAACAATACTACAGTTGCCTATTGTAGAAACCGACATAACTGAATGAATTCATACGACTGACAAAGTAAGCGTATGAATGGTTGCATAAATAATGTGTCTATATTTTTTTAACTTTCAATCGAATTATATACCAAATACGTATTTGTATATCCAACTTCGAGTCACATTTAAAGTGAAATAGAAGGAACTGAGTTCAAACTAAATGGCAGTAAGTTTAACACCTTAACTAAAGAAGCAGTGTGAATGAAAAAACTTAGCCAGCTTTATGTGTCTAAGTGGGCGGTTTTTAAAAGCTAAAACAACTTACTTAGAGCTTTTTTTGCAAGGTACATGGCTTCTCTCTCACTCCTGATACGCTCAGCTTCTCTATCCTCCTGAAGCCAATTGCTAAATTTTAATTACATACCTCGCTGTCTGAAGCAAAAAGATCAAGCTCTGCATCAGATTTTTTTCCAACTTTATCATGAGAATCATTACTCAACTTCATAGTGCTTATCCGTGATTCCAGATCTGATATGCGACTAACAAGACTGGTAACAACTATATGAAAAGCGTGATTATTATTATCATTGAAATTAAATGATACTTTACAAATGAAACAAAAAATTCTTGGCGGTTGTGGTTATGAGAAACAAAATAATGATGAATAGGTTAACAAGTGACATTATTAATTCTCTAGAAATGCAGGGTGCGCAAACCCTTTGTAATATCAATGTGTCTAAGGAGGATGTGGATTTATTTGCATCCACAAAAGCATATCAAAGACCGAACATGGACTTTAAAAGAAACAAGGATTTTTCTATATATATTTCTGCTCCCTTGACGTGGTGGTCGGGCTTGCCCGGCTTGACCCAAGCGAGCTATATTGGCTGGAACATATGTTCATGTAGGTTTTACCATGCCAGATAGGTCGATTGGAAAACGGTAAGACCAAAAGCAGCAAATCAACGTCTGAGGGCAAAGTCGTACTGCTGACTGCAGAGGGGTGTGACAGCAGTAAGGTGTTCCTCCCGGTTAACCAGCATCTGCAACGATGCTGTCTTCTCACAAGGAAGGAAGGGGTTAAAAAAGATTGACCCTAAAAATGCACATCTCGCCTTATCCCATGGATTTCCGTCTCCGGCGATAAGGCCTTTTGAAGAACGGAGCTAACACGTCAAAAAACCCCCACAAAAAGGCCGTGTGTGACCGACCTCAAGCAGTTGTCCCTTGGGCTCTGTGGTCACGCTCACAGGTCGTTAAGACCAGCATTATTTATGACTTTTTTCAGGTCCCTCAAGAAATACTCTTCCACAGTGTGGGCAGCCGGGAAATGATATTAACCCTCACACCCGTAACAGCACACGAGATCAAGTTGGTCACACCTCCTAATAACGTTCCCATCTCCACGACTAACCCTTCTCACGCCGCTTCATCACCTTGCACCGTTAGAGCAAACGATTCCAGTACGCGGAACGGTATTCCTGGTCTCCTGAAACCACACTCTAAACTACATGTAAGAACTTTCAACGCCCGAACATTGTGCCGAATAATACAACAGGATTCGTTAGCTAGGAGTTTAGAATCTCGCACCATCGATGTGAGCTACGCACATACAGGATTCGAGTAGCGTCGTTCATTTGACTTCACCATGTCAAAATAAAGAACCAACTCGACTCACGCTTCGTGTATCTGGAAGTCCTGATGCTGTTTCCCGTGGCCTCGCTGGCGTAGATATAGCATTCAGTCCTAGGGCAGAACCAGCTCTTTTAGACTGGATCCCAGTAGACATTCATCTGTGCGCTGTCTGACTAAACGGAACAGTAAGGACTCGGAAAGATAGAGACACTCGTTGCCTCTTTGTTGTCTCTGCCTACTCTCTCACTGACTGCAGCTCAGATGATGTAAAAGATGATTTGCACAGAAAGCTTTTCGACCTTCTCCGGGAAACTAGACGCTCTGAAGTAGTGATCATGGCTGGTGAATTTAATGCTCAAGTAGGTAAACTAAGAGAAAGGGAAAGACACCTGGGTGGATCTTATGGTGTCGTAGCTCAAAGATCAGACAATCGCGACCATCTGTTGCAGCTATGCTCAGATAACCGCCTGTTTCTTGCAAATACTGACTTTAAGCACAACGAAAAACATCTTTTGACATGGCGATACCCGAATTCGTCCCAACGTTGGACCCAATTTGATCACATCGCTATCAGCCACTGATGGAGGGGTTCGATAGGAAACTGTCTTATTTATTCATTGATTCAAGTTCCCCGCCGACGCAGAAGAATAAAGAGGAAATTATGAAAATGAGAGACACACGACGAAAGCTAACTGAAAAGCATTGAGATTTTAAGTGTATAAGAAGCACTGTTCAAAAGAAACATAAGATCGGAGGATGGAAAGCTGGGAATTTAGATAGAGAATGGATGCAGTTGTGCTAATCAGACTAATTTTTTGTACACAAAAAGTACTAACAAGCTGAACCGTGTAGTTATTTTAACAAAAGCACTCACGACAATAAAAATAATATGACGAAGCAAATCTACAAACGTTATGTTATAAATGAAAGGAACAAGAGGAAAATTTGATATTTTAATCTGAAATACAATATACAAAATGTTCTGGAAATTTAAACATCTTTGTCCACAGAAAAACGTCAAGAAGTCAGTTAAACTTTATGTGTGTTGAATTTTAATGAAAGCTAGCATCAGTTTAAAGCAACAATGCTCTGCAGAGTGTCTTTTAAAGATAACAAATGAGCAATCAATATTGTTTTTAATTAGACTATCAGGTTTTACTTAAATATACAGTAATCTTTGTATGTATATACAAAAGACATTGAAGCAATCGAGGAAATTTATGATACAATGATAACAATGAAGAACTATTACGTAGCTGATTATCACGAGCAAATGTACAAATCACGAGCTATTGCAGCAGATATAAAAATAATAAATATCATGATATCGACAAATGTTTATTTGTTATTTATTTATTTATTTATTTAAACACATATATATTGGTACAAAAGGGCACCAGATACATATGCGCCACACAAAATAATGAAAGTAGGAAGAGAAGGGATGAAAAGATAAGGCGGACTGAAATGTACAACCAGAAGACTCTTTCAGTTAAGAAAGTTAGAATCACTCTTTATGAAGAAAGTAAGAGAAGGTTACAGCAGGATCGCCACTGGCTTCTATTCTGAGCCATATCTGATAACGTCTCCAGCCACTGTGTTGAACCATCTCTCGGACCCCAGCCAGGGACTCGTGAAGGACCAACAGAAGCTAGCCCTTTGCAGCTCTCTTTCATGCCACGACACCATGTCATACACTGACCTCCTCTCCGCTTTCTCCAACCAGTCCCAGAGTCGGCAAATAATGCACGACGTGGAAGTCTCTGGGACGACATTCGTAAAACATGTCCAAGCCATCGAAGTCGGTGTTTCAAGATGGTGACACCAATTGAATTATCGTCTCTGTGCCCGAACACACGATGCCGAACCTCTGCATTACTAACATGGTGTTGCCACTGAATGTCAGCAATCCTTCGGAGACAACGATGATCGAACACAGAGAGACATCTAACATCCTCAACTCGTAGAGGCCAGGTTTCACAAGCATAGAGCAAAACTGCTCTCACCGACGCCTTGTAGATCCGATCTTTTACAGCCAGACTAACATCACGAAGGCGCCAAAGATGGCCCAGATTGGCACAAGCCGATCTGGCTTTCCTTATACGTGCATCAATCTCATCACTCACGCCACCACCAGCACTTATATAGCTACCTAGATACACGAACTTCTCAACTACTTCAATCTGATCACCATCCAGGGTGAGTACAGGATGAGAATCCTGCCAGTCTTGTAGGAGTACTTTGCACTTGGAGGGTGCAAAGCACATGCCGTACCTGCGGACACTGATTGCCAACTGATTAAGTGCGGATTGCATGCCTTGGGCATTATCGCACAGTAAGACAATATCATCCGCATACTCAAGGTCAAGTCGTTCTCCAGGCAACATATCCACACCGCCACTACTTACATCCATCAGAGCTGTTTCCAGGATGTCGTCGATGGCGAAGTTGAAGAGGAATGGTGAGATCGGGCAACCCCGCCTAACCCCACTGCTCGAATGGAACAAGGGAGAAAGGTGGTTGTATGTCCTCACTCTGCCTGAGGTGTTCGTATACAGAGCCTTTAAGATGTTAATGAACTTCTCAGGCACACCCCTCTTCAATAGACAAACCCAGAGAACAGTCCTGTCCAACGAATCGAAGGCAGCCATGATATCAAGAAACACTACGATTGTTGGCCTGCGATAAGTATGACGGTGTTCTAACATTTGGCGGAGGGTGAAGATGTGATCAGTGCATCCCCGACCAGAACGAAAACCAGGCTGCTCCTCGTGAGTCAATCGTTCTCGGGTTTTAAACAACCTACAAAGAATGATAGAAGCCAATAGTTTGGACGCAATCGGAAGTAGACTTATCCCCCGATAGTTGTTACAGGAACAACGTGAACCCTTTTTAAAGATAGGAAGGACTATTGATTCATTCCATGATTTTGGAACACTTTCTTGCTCCCAAACCTTTGCAAACAACACCGTCAGTTCCTTAGCCAGAAAGTCACCACCATCCTTGGTGGACAAGGCGAGTCCACCTAGGGGAGTTGGAAAACCCTGATTCCAAAGGAATGGTGCACATGGGCTCCAGTATCCTGAGGGAACAAATGGCGTACGAATCAATCGTTGATCACCGGCTACCATGGGACTGCATCTCCTCACGGTGCTCCACTGCCTTGTGGATCAGATCTTTCGGTCAAAGAATCCGGGTGTGGCCCTCTAAGAAAACCACCTGTTTCAGTTCGGACACCTAGGCAGTATCACAGCCCTCAAGCAAATCGAATGAGATTTGTATGGCGCATATGTATTTGGTGTTTTCTTGTACCAATATTTATGTGTTTAAATAAAATAAAAATAAATCTTTAAAAAGAGCTGGAGGTAAGTCATCTGGGCCAGGTGATTTGTAGCGCTTCAAGAGTTGGAGTTCCTTGCGGACTTCCGCCTCGTTTGGTGGATCAGTCGTCACCGGCCATGGGGGGGGGCAGGACAAACTGCCTGATGTTGCCGGAGCAGCAGGTCAGTTGAACTGCCCTTCGAAAAATTCCGCCCATCGTCTAAGACGTCGAGAGATGTTAGTGATTGGCATCCCGTCATCCTCGTAGATTGTTTCACTCACACCAGAGTTCTTGCTGCCAGTGGCTCGGATGAGTTGGAAGAGCTTCCGGCAGTTACCAGATGCAGCTGCTGCTTCCATCTCATTAGCACGCTCCGACCACCAGGTTTCTCGGTCCTTACGCAAGCTTTGCCCGATTTCACTACGTAACAGCCTTCGTTTGTGGTCAAACTCACGGTCACCCGGAGTAGACCGACGGGCTTCCATCAGTTGTAAGGAGTCAGAAGAAACCCAGTGCTTGTAGGCGGGACGTTTCGCGAAGCCGCAAGCTGCTTTACTCGCCATTTTCATGGCGTCGTGAAGATGCAACCAATGCTCATCTATACTTTTCGGTGGGATGGTAGCTAGCCTAGAAGCAAGCTCCGCTCGATACTTACTTGCAACAGATGTTGCAGCCAGTTTACTAACATCGATCCGTTGGTGGTGGTCAATCCTTCGGCCACTGAAAAGTAAGGTGAGATTGGCGCAGACCAGGGCATGATCAGACTCCAGATAGGTACTCCGAAAGGAGCGGCAGTCTTGTACACAACCACGCCAGCGGTAGCTGATCGCGATGTGATCAATCTGAGTCCAGGCTTGGGATGCAGAGGGAGGACGCCAGGTGGCACACCGGCGATGACTGTGCCGAAAGTTAGTGCTGGCCAGAAACAGGTTGTGGTCTGTGCACAGTTGCAGCAAACGGTCCCCGTTATCTGTCCTGCGACCAACAAGTCCCCATCGGCCACCTAAACGACTCTCTTCTGTGCCTAGACGCCCGACCTGTGCACTCAAGTCTCCGGCTAGTACTACAATATCTGTCGAACGCGCTTTCTGGAGAAGAACTGTTAACTGATGGTAAAACTCATCCTTGATTGCATCCGGGCTGCAATCTGTCGAGGCATAGGCGGAGATGACGAAAAGACACCGTTTCTCACGCCGATTTCTTCTCACTTTGATGGAACTTTCTAATCTAACAGCACATAACCGACTGTTAATGGGGATCCAATCGATTAGTGCTGCCTCAGCCCTAACGCTTAGTGCGACACCAACGCCAGCAAAACCAGACGAAGATGCCACAGGGTCCCCGGATAAGTGCACGTGAAACAAGCTTTTCAAGGCGACAGATGGAGAGCGAATTTGTAGTAATTCACTAGAGTCTTGAATACGGGTCTCGGGTAGACAGCAAACATCAACATTAAGACTTTCTAAAGACATAGCCAGCCCCATCTGTTGTCTGATCTGCAATAGTGTGCGAACGTTGAAGGAAGCCAGCTTGAACGGCGTAGGTGGTTTCAGAAAGACTGCTTCAGTATTCGTAATCGGTGGACGCATTCACTTTCAACCAGGCAGTGACTGGAGATCGTTTAGATAGGACAGAGTTTCCACCATGGGCGAGCTACTGCATAAGTTGGAAAAGAAGGATACACAATTTGGGAATAAAGGGAGTGAAAAAGCGACGTAGTAAATAATAGTAATAATAATAACAGTATTAATAATAATAATAATAATAATAATAATAATAATAATAATAATAATAATAGTGTAAATTGTCTTGCTTCTAGTATGAGCGAGAATAGTATCGTCAATAGAATTCATCATTTCATTTATTTGTGTGTGGGCTGTGATACTGCCTGGGTGCCGAAACCGAAGCAGGTGGTTTTCTTAGGGGGCCACACCCCAAGCCTTTGACCTAAAGGTCTGATCCACAAGGCAGTGGAGCATCGTGAGGAGATGCAATCCCATGGTAGCCGGTGACCAACAGCAGGTTCATACGCCATTTGTTCCTTCAGGATACTGGAGCCCAAGTGCACCATTCGTTTGGAATCAGGGTTTTCCAACTGTCCTAGATGGACCCTCCGTGTCCACCAACCCGGTTAAAGCGCCGGACATTCGCTTTTCGTCCTCTCACTTTCGTAAACACCCCGCCACGAGAAGGCAGTGAGTAGGAATTCCCTGGCAGAGGCTATATATTCGCTGGCCATATGAGAGCATTTCCAGAGGGAGAGTGGACTCTCCCCACTCTCGGCCGTACCAGGGCATTTGGGGGCTGTCGCTCATTCTGGAGCACATGCTTAGATTCAGATCATGCACTAGTGCGAGCACTTATCTGTCTGTCTTACTGACGTAGGAAAGATGCTGCAAGGAAACCTCTTAGAATTCTACTTAATGATAGGCAAGCTAAGAATATATTTCAGGAACAACTGGAAAAACAGTTAGGCAGCCATGTAAGTTGTGCCAGTCCCGAGGCAGTGTGGAAACAGCAGTGATATCTGCTAGTACGGTAAACCATAAAGTTGGGGAGAAACACTGGATCTCAGCAGCATCTACCGCACTGATAGATGCTCGAAAACTCATCCCATCTTGCTCTGAACATAACGAAAAGCGGAGTCCGCTTAAGCGCAGGCTGACAAGAAGCCTACGCACGATCGCGAACAGTGGTGGGTAGCGAAAGAAAGAGAGATGGAAAAGGCATGTTTGGGATGCGATTCTCTCCCTCAAAATGCAAAATGTTACTTCAGGATAGGGATGCATCGGCATCTGAACTAATGATAGAGAGTGAAGTAGTTGGGCGTGTTGACCGCTTTACTTATCCTGGAAGTCCCATCGGCTCTTGTGTTCTGGTGTGACGAAATCTCGGCACTGATACAGAAAGCTCGTCTAGCTTTCGCCAACTTGCGTCATTTATGGAGTAGGCGAGATATCCGTTTACCAAGCAAATGATGGGTTTACTGTGCAGCAGTTCGTTCCGTCCTAATTCATGGCAGTGGAACATGGCCGGTAAGAGTAGAGGATATTCGTAGGCTACTAGTATTCGATCATAGGTGTCTTCGAAGCATTGCTCGTATATCCAGGGACCACCGAGTAAGTAATGAAGTTGTTAGGAAGTTGGTACTAGGTGAGGATGGCAAATCGATTGAAGTAGTGAAACTTCATCAGTTGAGATGGCTGGGACACGTGTTACGAATGCCCAACCACTGATTGCCCCGACGCACGATGTTTTATGGTGTAGGAGTGGGTTGGAAGAAAGCTAGGGTCGCCACAACAAGACGTGGCACAAATCCATGAAGTCACTGACAAGTGGACTGAGCCATGTTGGTAGGTGTAGACTACCTGGTTGGGATCCGCGAGATGATAGAAACCTATGGTTTGAAACTTTGAGTGACATGGTTCAAAATCGTTTGCAATGGCGAAGGTGCATCCAGCCTTTGTGTTTTCCCAAATTCTAATCTTCTGAATTCGTCATGTCTCTATCCTTCTTTCTTTCCAAATCTATTTCACTGGATTATACTCCTTGAATAACATCTCCAAACCCTAATCTTCCCTATTACTGTTTATACTCTCACTACCTCTACCATTGTGGGATTTGAATCGGCAACTGCATCTTTGTGTTAATGTGGTATGGCAACTCCAATTGATGTACGTACGTACGAAGTTCTACGTTGTGACTGACTGATAGGTAGGTAATGGTGATTGTTTGTTTAGTACTGATCTTTCATTATGGGATTAAAAGTTCGTGTATCAATGTCCAAAGTTCTAACTTGTTAAATTTAACCTCTTTTCATAACTTGATTCCTCAAAATGATCATAACTATGTTCTCAGAAGTAAAGTTTCAGAAATCTACTGTTTTTTCACTGAATTAAGATCTTATCACTACCTTCCAGCAACTCATCTGAGTCTCTGAATAAAATAGCTTATGATGGGATTTAATTATTTCATGTGAATTGAGTTCATTATGAGTGATTTAGTTGTGTTAAGCACTACAAGCCATCGTTTACTAACTGCACGACAAAGCCCAGCTCTAGCGTAAATTAAGAAAAACAGATTGATCGAAGAATTAAGTCGAATTAATCCACCAAGTCACTGAAATTCTTTAAACTGTAAAAGTAAAATTGAGGCATGTGGTTGAAGTCAATAAAAATTAAATCAGTGGTACCCGAGAATTCCTAATATGAAAAACGTCACCTAACGAGAAGTGAGGACAAAATGATAAATCTGTATGAAAACTTATTCAAATAGTCAAGCAGAGTGCGTGAACGGGGATTAATGTTAATAAGACATTAGCGATTCATGTAGAATAAGACGAGATAGAGACTGAAGTCAAAAAAACAAGGTGCAAGCTAATGAACAAATAAGTCACAATAAGTAAAACCTAATAAGTCCTATTTTTACTGTTCAATTACCAACGAGTAATAGAGAATTTAAGAGTATGAATTTCATTTACGATAGAACTTATTATCATACTACAAACAATTCTGAAACACATAGTTTTTACGTCGTCAAAAAGATGAACTTTTTAAATAAATCACAGCCGTCAACTAACATTAAACCTTGGTTTATTAAAGTCAGCGTAAAAAAAATCATTACTGGACGGGATGACTTACGTTTTTCAAGTTCATCAAGACGTCCAACGTCGAAAGGTCGGGATACAGCAACCTAAAAAAATAGAAGACAGAAACAGAATCTTGATTTCAAAAAAGCTTATCGAACTGAAAAAAATATTATGAAACATCCATGATTCACATGCACAACAGAAAACACAGATTTCGGCTACCGCAATTGACGGCAGTGCGACTGAAAATGAATATGCCATGAAGTAATCAAGAGAGCAATATCGTGGATCAACAAACTTCATCAAACTACGATGTTGCCAGTGTCAATACGCTTCAAAAAGGTTATAAACCTCTGAATCAACAAATATGTAAGCAGTGTGATAAGACTCATTTCTTTAATTTATTAACCTTTGATTACTTTATTTTGAACTAGAAATGATATCACCACCCCTACTAGTTTTCCTGTTTTTGATATGCTGCTGAGAAGCTACTCCACAGGGACCTATGAGTGTTTACAACTTCATCAATAATGAACAAAAATGATTTATCGGTGATTCATGGGTATTAGTCGGTTAGATGGACTGAGTCAATTACGAAGTATCGTCTTGAAACGTTGGAGAGACTGTATTTTGAACGAATAAATGAGATCGCACATGGCACGTCTCGGACTATGGTGCGAAATCCACAAACCCAGAGGGTTAAATAGCATTAACGTATTATGGTTGGTGTCAGCTCGTGGTGAAAATTCAAACCCTAGTTTTTTGAACTAATTTATGATCCTATTTAAATCTCAACAAGTGAATATTCTTGAGATCACTTCGCCGAATTTTTTTCTTGCTAAAATGATCAATTAAATATATAAAGTATAAATACCCCTGTCATAAAATGAAATATTTCAACTAGAATTTTGTCTGCTACGCATTGTTTCTCCTCATAAGAAAAAGAATGGACCACAAAGTCAAGTTAACACAGTTCGACAATTCTGTTTGAGATTCAGAATTCAATTCAGAATTGAGAAAAAACTAGAAAGTCGAGTTATTTATTTAAAGCTACGTATCTAAATGCTTGAAAGAATTTTAGGGATGAAATAAACGTTCATTTTAGAATCAGTGATACTTGCGTTGGCCCCCAAATGCCCTGGTACGGCCAAAAGTGAGGAGAGCGTACTCTCCCTCTCGAAATGCTTTCGAATGTCTACGCGTATATAGCCTTTGTCAGGGAAGTCCTACTCACTGCCTCCTTGTGACATTACTATTGTTTACAAAATTGAAACGACGAAAAGCAAATGCCCGGGGCTTTACTCAGGTTGGTGGACACGGAAAGTCCATCTAGAGAAGTTGGAAAACTCTGATTCCAAACGAATGGTGCACATGGGCTCCAGTATCCTGAGGGAACAAATGGCGTACGAATCAATCGTTGATCACCGGCTACCATGGGACTGCATCTCCTCACGGTGCTCCACTGCCTTGTGGATCAGATCTTTCGGTCAAAGGCTCCGGGTGTGGGCCCCCAAGAAAACCACCTGCTTCAGCCTGGGCACCTGGGCAGTATCACAGCTTTCAAGCGAATCGGATGAGATTTGTGCGGGGCATATGTATGTGGTGCTTCCTTGTACCAATATTTACGTTTCAATAAATAAACAAATAATTTTGTCGAGAAAACGGCGAGACTATAATTTACGTACGAAGCAACCAGGTATTAGACAACAGGTCTTGGATTTTTGACGCAAAATTCATCCATCAATTGGGTTAAACAATTTTGGCATTTTAGCTGATGTCAGTTGGTTATGAAAACCGTCAATCTCAATTATAACCCTGACCATCAACTCTAATTCCTCAAACTAGTTTATAAGGCTCATTTAGTCTTAGGGTGGACATTGTAGGTCACTTTAGCGTTACCCAAAGGTCGTCCGTAAATTATAGTTTCACCGGAGAAACTCGGTCAACACTATGGTCTCTGTGCAGACATACTGCAAAAATAGTTGATTTAGAGACCAGTGCGTCTCAAATGGGGCAAAAGGTACATTCTGAGTACCACTGCAGGCCAATCATCAACTTCTGGTTATCAATCCGGAAGGTCCGACACACTACAAACTGGTTCAGGAGTGTTGAGTATTCTATCTTAATTTTTTATAGATATGTTAATGACCTTGAGACAGGCAAACTAAGAGTACAAACCATAGGTACTGAAAACTAACTATAACTCTGAAATAAACAATAGTAAGCAAACACCTTATTTTGTTCACTTTATTTTTAAACTTACGCGATCCAAGGATGTTTTGATATGCTCTCTAGCTTTCTGAATTTCTTGTGTCAAAGACCCCGTTTTCTTGAAATGTTAACGAACAAAGTACAGAATACCAGTGTTTCTGGAGCTTTCGATTGAGCGGATGAAGACAGATGAGATACATAAGCTTTCTCAATATCCGGATAGTCAGGAAATTGAAGTGTCTGTGCGCTCACAAGTAGACCTGCCTCCATCTCGACCACGCCACGAACAAACTGAATAACCCTCGGTTATTCAATATTCAAAATTCCTCTGTGTTAAATGGCATTCCGACAGCCAGAAAGTGGATAACCTGGACACACAACCAATGTTACGAGAGCTATAATTTTCATATTACATGAAACATCGATGTGAGACTTTAATTTATGGCCGAATCAATCAGATTTAGGATAATAGGTTATGGATCTTGACGCGAAATTCAATCACCCATTTGTCTAAATCGCGTTTTGGCATCTTACCTGATGTCATTTCTCGATGAAAGCCATGAGTCTGATACCGAACCCCAACCATAAACTTTAATTCACAATCTTTTGTAGCTGTAAATAATTCCCAAAATCAATAGCTTTTTAAGTGTTCGACATTGGATGCTGACCACATTGTTTTAAGTGGACTTGGTCAGCTGAAGTCGTTCGGTCATGCATTGCACTAGATCACGTCACAGCTCAGCGTGGGAAACACCCTCTACGTTCACTAGCCAGATTAGATCAACCACTTCTCGATACATTGATAACGCATCAAATATATCTTTCCAACATCTTCCCTTCTGACTTCTGATTGTAACTGAGTGGGGAACGATTCGATTATAGATGTTACTGGTTAATAGTTGTCAAACTACAATACTGGAGGTATCTTCACTTTATTCTTCTAACTGCTTCATAACACTCTTTTAGCCCTAGTAAGTGAACGTTACGAAGGTCATTAGGGCTCACCTCAAATGTTATCCACAAATTTAGGCATCACAAACATTCAACATTTTTATGATGAGTAGGTATACAAACCTAATTCTCTTACGTCGTGACTTGATCTGAACAAACGGTTTCAGGTATTTAGCCATATTTATACGTCTTTGATGGTTTCCAGTGCGGTAGTTGTTTAGATGGATAAATGTAAGCAAGTTACTTTGACAACTAAGGAACGGGTTTGAATTTTTCAAAAATGCATCTCTCCCTCTCAAAAGGCTCTCACATATCCATGCGTATACAGCCTCTGACAGGGATGTCCTACTCACTATCATATCGCAACATTACTGTTGATTACGAAATTGAGAGGTCAAAAAGCGAATATCCCGTGCTTTAACCAGGTTGGTAGATATGGAGGATCTACCTACTGTAATTTGGAAACACTGTTTCCCAACCTGTGGTGTACATGGTCTCCAGGATCCTGTTGTTGGTCACCAGTTACATGGAGCTGTATGTCCTAAAGTTGCTTCACTGCCTTATGGATCAGGCCTTCAGGTCGAAGGCTCCAGTGAGGCCCCTTACGAAAACAACCTCCTTCGGTCTAGGTGTCCGGGCAGTATTCCAGCACTCAAACAGATCGAATAACGAAGTGTGACGCATATATATTTGATGCCCGTTTGTACCAATGTTTATGAGTTTAAATGAATAATAATGACAATGCGATTAAGTACCTATTGTCAAATTGTAAATAAAGATAGCTCTGTATGACAAAACCATGTTTCAGAGAATAAGAGGATTAGGCAGCCGTAAATGGTGAGTAACAAGATGAAATGATGCAATAAAACGGAGGAATTAGAGAACTAATTACATATTAACTTCTTTTCCTGATCATTGTAACCTGTTATTTCTTTCCTGACAAAGGCCGCTGGCAAGGAATATCCTGCCGATTCTATTTTGGGCAATCATAAATAATCAAAACTAGTATCTATTGAAACGTGAATTTTAAAGATTTTAAACGTTTACAATGATCTAAAGTTGTGCCTCGGACTCCTAATCATACAAACACTGAATAGTCAAAGCGGAGGGTTTCGAAACTACTTACTTATGCTTCTGGTCCTTCGTGGAGGAGCATAGACCGCACAACGAAAATATCCCTGGCATTTTAAGCTCGGCAAACACTTCCGTTAGTTTTCAGTCGTTATGCATGCTTTCGATATCGCATAGTAATTCCCGATTCACAGTGGTTCTGGTCCTCCACTTAATAAAAATAGACCGGATATGATGTCATAGATACACATAAACTTGTTTCTGAGCAAGGTTGTAGTAGGCGTTTACCCGCAGTTGACTATGACCACTACTACATGAAAAATACCTGTTAGTTACTAGGTTAGATCCTCCCGTAGGCCTAATATCAGAAGGTAGATGAAAGTTGTAGTAAGATATGCTTGTTGGCAATCTCGTGGTATCTAATAAATACCGAGATCGTTCCAAAGTTTACGAGCGAGTCTACTAAGCGTGCGAGAGTTTGTGCAAGGTCACGAAACGACGGATGAATGCGGAATCGTGAATGCACACTATCGAGGCGACGGGGCGAACCGCCCGTCCATTACTTCCAGGTTTTTAGTGGTGGTGAAATTAAGTTCTGCTTCATTGTTTAAAGTTCCTAAAAAAATGTGTAACCAGTTAATAACAGATGAAAACCAGAATTTCAATTTATGAGTTTAACAATCATACGACTATTAAAAGTTAAAACTTCACGTTGTTGCTTAATCCTTGAAAACACATATTATTATTATTATTACCAGTCGGTGTAAATTACTGAATTATTTTGCTTCGTGAAGTTTTTGTATATATATATATATATATATATATATATATATATAGAGAGAGAGAGAGAGATTGAGTGACAACTGGTACATTTATTTTTCTTGATAATTGCACCTCTATATTATGACGGTGTGACAACTTAAACCGATGTGTATGTTCGTCTGGTTCTTTGTTGTGTATGACTGACTATATATAACTAAATTTACTTCTGATATTTTGTCGTTTATTCTTATTGTATTATCTTTTCCTAGAAACTCAGGGGTTTATGTAATTGTTGATTGTAAACCTGGTACTCATCAATATAAGTACTTCATTGATGGAGCATGGTATCATGATCCAACCAAAGTGAGTGAGTGTGAACAGTAAGCGAAATATTTTGGTTTTTAATGCTTTTTTATTGTATAACACATTCTTCGATGAAGTAAAATAATTGTGTAACTTTCTGTTATTCTTGATTTAAGAGTTCGAAATATGAGTCTGTCATACATTCAACTTAAGGGATTTCACTGATGACGAGCTCACTCTTCTCCAGCAGTACTAATGTCATTCTCTTTACCTGTTTTTCCTACTAGGTATCCTGACCTCGATTAGCACGTACAACTTCCTTCTGCCTTCCCTCAGTTCACCCCATTAGAATACGCGGAAATCTGACTGATTTGCTCCGTACACTTAAAACATTCTCCTGTTATCCCTCATGGAGGAGCACCAGCATTCTCCGTGGAACTTCGGCCTGGACAATCCTTTCAAGTTCGTTTCTGTTGCTATTTTTTTATGCTTGCTTTCAATTCTCAACGTAGTGTGTTCTTCGACCTTTCTCTTTTTCGCTTTCCTTCAGAATTCCGATTAATCACGTCTTCCATTGACCTTCTGAGTTACCCGGTGACACAAATATTATAGGTCTGACTCTCTGTAGTGTGGTCGGGAGAGACCCATATAGCTTTGTGTATGCGTTTTTGGGAAAATATGGGGTCACCTATAACCTTTTTTTGAATGCACATAAATTTGTAAACCTCTGGTCATTCTGGTTCTTTTCGTATCTAGATTACCGAATCGATCCTTTTCTGTCTAGCTTGAGTCCAGCGGGTTTTAATGACTCCGACATCACCAAATTGTATTTCCTCATTTCCGTATTTATTTGATTAGTCTTCCCAGTCTCACACATTTTCCGGACATCTTACGTACTTATGTTGATTGTTGCTCTGGTTGTTAGATGGAGCGTCAGCCTCTTGTGTCTGATACTATGTCGAGCACACATGGGTTATTTCAGATTCTTGATAGACCAATTTATTGATTGTTCTCAAACCGCCTCTTGACCTTATTGTAAGATCCAAACCTAGTTCCAAATAGGTTCGGATCACTGAATTACTGGCAAATAAAAGTAAAGAAACTCACAGACCCCAGTCGAAATGAAAACAAGATGATTGGTGTAATAACGGTTCTAAACAAATATTACCGCACAGTTATTCAACCAACAATTGATCCCAAAATAATCAATCAAACACACCAAAAAGTAACTGTTATTCTATCCTTTCTGTATAGATCAAGTAAAATTCAGTTTAGGCGGCTGTTCTATAACACAACGTGTTTCAAATTCTGGGAAGGTGCTTCAATTTACAACCAAATTGCACGATCCCAGTCAAAATCAAACAGCCCAATCAAAGAGCGAACATTCAATATGGCAGCCACCAGAATAATATCAATTAAAACAAATTATATACAGTTCAGGAAGAATATAGAAACCCAATGAAAGCAACAGAAGAAACTGAGAAAACTATAATGAAATGAAACACCATAATACAAAATGACGTCAAAAATGCTAACAATAACGTACAAACAACGAGAACATTAAGAAGAAGCTATGGATGTATGCATGGAGGGACTTTCACATACGAAACGTTCAAAATGGATTCTACACTTGTTACTTATTCACCCACAAATCGTGATTATTTTTATATGAGAGCATGTGTGTTAATTGCTCTCCTTTTTTGTTTCGTGTCTGTAACTTATTTTTGTCTGAGTAAAAATATCAAGTCACGCTTGATTAAATTGATATGGTTGACTCGCCATCTCCAACTTGTTTCTTTGATTATCAGTTCAGATGCTGTAACACTAATTACCTTGTGATTCCCTATGAATTTCTATGTCAAAGGAGGTGAGGCGTGACTGCATTTATCTTGCTTGGTCTTGACACCGTTTCATTTCCTAGCGCTCGTGTCACAATACTGTAATTTTGTCCCTTGTTAGAGTTGTTTTAGCGAGGTTATTTTTTGCGAGATGGGGTTGCTGATTCCATCTTCACCCTTCCCATCTTATCTGGGCTTGAGAACGACAAGAACCCTAGACGGGCTACAGGGAGGTTTGGGGTTACCAAGGGATTAAACTAATCATCTTACAACCCTTATCAGTGGTTAGAGAACACTGGGTCTTAGAGTGAGTATTTATTGACACACAGTATATTTTTACTTCTAATCCTCAACCTATTCCTCGGTTTAGACTCTCTGGATTTGAAAAGTCTATCCATCAAGATTATACACACCCTTTCTTCGCGCTGCAGACATTTAGTTGGAGTCAGTCTGCCGGAATTTATTCTTAGAACTTTGAACTACGAGTATTCACTATCCCTTGGGGAACCTGTGATATTTAAAAGTATTTAAATCATAATATAAGCTAGCAATCTCAGAAACAACGCAATTTAATCAAAAGTACTAGATGAACACGAACGAATGTACTGTATTTGGAATTCAAAATCAAGCAGTTATCAATACAAAAGAATCATTGGTTCATTCAAACATCACAGAACCTCGTCGTTAATTAATGACT